TAGAAACATGGTGGGGAAGCGACAGTCTTTTCAGTAAAGACTGCTGGGAAACTGGCTATCTACATGGAAAAGAACGAAACAAGACTCACACCCTGTACAAAAACCAAGGCGAAGCGGATTGAAGACGCGTGTGAGACCTGAAGCTGTGGAGGTCAAGGGCGATGACGTGGGGAATGCTTCGGGACTTTGGAATGGGCAACGGTTTCTTTTGGAGAAGATTCCAAAAGCATAGAAAACAAAAGCGAAATTGGCAAATGGCATTACATTAACATAAATGGCTTCCACACAGCAGCAGAAGAAATAGGCAGCCAGTGTGAACAGCCTACCTATAGAGTGGGAGAACATACCTGCAGGCTCTACATCTGACGGGGCTGATATGGAAAGTATATAAAAACTCCAAGAACTTAGTAGCAGAACACGAACAGTTCAATTAAAAAATGAGCAGTAGACCTAAATAGACACTCTCCAAAAGAGGGTGTATACACGGTCAACAGGCACACAGAAAACAGACACCACAAATGCTCAGCGCCGCTGGCCATCAGGGACATGCAGATCGGAACCGCAGTGAAACGTCGCCTCATCCCGCTGAGACTGGCGGGGATCAGAAAGACAGAAGGTAACAAGTGCTGAAGGAAAGAGAAGCTCAGTGCACTGCTGGTAGGAATGTGAAGGACTGCAGCGACTGGAACCCAGGAGTGCAGTGTGGCGAGCCTTTTAGAGCTTTCGGTGTTCGCAGCCTGCTGTGGCACATGCGCCATGCGTTTGCCACCACTGCTGTAGAGGTTCCTCAAAAATTAAGAAAAAAACCATATAATTCTACTACTGTCCTGGATGTGTGTGCAAGGAAATGAAATTTGTTGAGAAGTGTGCATTCTCGTGTCCACTGCCACACTGTTCACAATGGCCAAGAAGTGGGAACAGCCTAGGTGTCCAGCAGCTGATGGATGGATAAGGAAAATGTGGCATATACACACGGCAGAATACTATTCAGCCACAAAAAAGAATGAAATCTTGTTATAGTGAAGTGAGGTACAGAGAGATAAACACTGCATGGCCTCACTCATTTGCCGAACCCAGACTGATCTCATAGCATTTGAGAGCAGCAGAATGAAGGTGACTAGGAGCTAGGATGAGGGGTGGGAACAATGCACGAATGGGTACTGAATTACAGTCAGAAGCGAGAAGTGGTGTTGTGCTATTTTATAGTAGGGGGAGTGTAGCTGGCAGTGTGCATTGCAAAAAGCTAGAAGGAAGGATTTTGAAAGTTTTTGCCATAAATGATAAATGTTGGAGGTGATTGAAAAGAGGTGATTGAAAAATGCAGTTAATTTTTAGGTTAAAAAATTTATCACAGTAAAATATGTCTCACCATTACTTCTCCTTAAAATCTCCCCCTACACCTTTGAACATGCTCATCCTGTCATTCTTGCCACTTTCTGACGCAGTTCTGGAAGTACTCTTTCGCAAATGTCTTCGCGAGGTGTAATCCATGATACAGTGAGTGCTGCTGCTGAGTGCCCCCTAATGGAAAGGCGGCTCATAAAAACATGACATTGTCCTCGGCCACCTTAGTCGCTGGGTCTGGCACTGAGCAACTTTTGGCTCCTCCCTCTCCTTGAGAGGGAGACACTGTGAATCCCCGCAGGACACTGAGGCAGCCGGTTAAAGAAGAGACTCACGGAGCTGCTCCAGAAAGCGGCAGGAACAGTGGGATAAGTGTGTTTGAGGAAGAGGGAGGGTTTGAAGGGGCTTAATGGAAATATGTCTTTTACTATAATAAAATCTAACACACACCGTATTTTAATAACACCTCACAAGTTAATTTCATTTAAACATTGCACGGTGTATCAAAATATCACATTACCTATCAAGATGTACAATTTCTATGTTTTATGTGTCAAATAAGATTAATTAAAAATAGTAAAACTTGAAGGAAAAAAATCTCATCTGACAATTGTAATATTTGCCTTGGAGGTTATAGGCCGTATTGAGTTAGGCTTTTATGTGCAGTCTTTATTTTCCACTGAGCTTTTCATATTCTGTTTTTTCTCCTTTGTTGCCATCTATTGGATTAATGAAAGATAAACAATTTCTTATACTTTACTAGCTGTACATTACTTTCCTCCCTGTTGAGCTGTTGCCATAGCAATTACAGCACGTCCCTGACTGTCTCAGGTAAATGTGTGCAGACCCACTGGCCCATTCATGGTGAGGCCTTGTGTGCTTGTCCTTGGCATTGCCATTTCTGTTGAGAGGTCCCCTGAAGGGCGTGTGTGGGTTTAATTCTGTTGTTTCTTGCATCTGTGGTTCTCAGCAGCCTTACTGTGACAAGTCTCCTCGGTGTGGGTTTGTGTCCAACCTGTGCTGTGTTTGCAGGGCTTCTTGAACCTGGTGCTTTGACATGATCCATGCAGCTTTTAGCAGTTCGTGTCATTCTCCCAAGATGCTGCCTCTCTGCTGTCTTGGTCCATTCAGGCTGCTTTTTAAAACGTCGGAGGCTGGTAGCCTTTTAAAAATCCGACCGATTTCTCCCAGTTCCAGGGGCCGGAGGTCAGGCCCAGGCAGGCTCAGTGTCGAGATCACGGTGGCCCTCTCCTGCTGTGTCCTCACGTGGTGGTGGTGGACCCTCATTCCAGTCACGAGGCCCCCCTCTTGACTTAATCACCCACAGGGGCACTGTCTCCCAATGCCATGGCTTTGGCATGAGGATCTGGGAGCGACACAGACATTCACACCATCAAATCCCCATCCCTCTCCTTTCCACTTCGGATCCCAGCTGTGTGCTCGTTGGACTGCGGCACCGTGTCCCTTCTTTCTCTGACTCCGGCTTCTGTGGTGTCCGTTATTTTTTTCTCTGCTTACTTTTTGTTTTTGCAGCGCCGGGGTTTGAGCCCAGGTCTGGCGCTGAGCTGCGTGCCAGCACGCTCTCTGTGCTGACCTTCCGTGCCTGTTCTCCGCTCCCCACCTCTGCCTTCAGCCCTGTCTGATCTCCTCAAGTCTCAGTGTCCATTGTCAAGTGTTTTTCAGTTCTAGACTTTCCACTGGATTCTTTTATAGCTACTGATCCTCTGGCAAAGTTCCCCATTCGCCACATTTTCCTCGTGTTGTGGGTGTAGTGGTTGTGAGAACTTTAGAGTGGGCGTCTGGTTGCTCTTCGGGCTTGCAGATCCGGCCGCCATGTCCTGGTCTGCGTGTGGGCTTCCCTGGAGAACCGAAGCTCCTGTCTGCTTCTGTGGCTCCTGACACTGTGGGACCCTGGGGGCTTTCAGAGGCTCCTGCTCGGCTTGTAGAATCCTGCGCCTCATCCCGTCTGTCCTTGCTCAGCGTGTGGCACATGTCTGAGGGACGAGCGGCCATTTCTTCCCTTAGCGCCCGCCTCTCATGCTTGATTCTCCCCAGCAGGCTCTGCAGGTCCCTCAGCAACGGCCTGTGCCTGAGAAGACTGCAGATCCCGGCCTTGTGCCTGGAATGCAGATGCTGGGAGGGGTGCTGAGGAATGCTGCCTCCACCAGCAACCCTGTTCTGCTCTCGCCTGGGGTCCGCCTACTCCAGAGGTTCTGATTCCTGCAGGCTGGGTTACCCTTCAGCCAGTTTCCTTGGCCTCAGCCTGCCGCCACCCACCCGTCCACCCCCCGGGCCTGAGGTCCTTCCCTCTGCCAGCTTCCGTTAGCCTCTGCTGTCCTCTCTGCTGAACAGAGCCGCCTGTGTGTTCCTGCAGCGCTGTTAGGAGAGAGTTCGTGCTTTCTCTGCAGCGTGGAGTAGTCACTTGTCCTGCACCAGCCCAACCCAGTCCCCCAGCACCCTTCACAGTGTTTGTATGCTTACATGTGTGTGTGTCTGGCTGTGGACGTGCCCCAGCTCTGTGGAGTGGGTGTCATTTCTGGGCGTTGGTGGACCTTGGTGCCCCGGAGGCCTGTACTCTCCGGAGGGGCTGTCAGTGGAGGGGAATCCTGTCCAGGTCTGGGGGCTCTCTGGGGTTCTAGGGGGCTGGGCTCTGGCCCACAGGGCCTAGAATTGAGGTGGTCCAGGCCGGGCCAGTGCTATGCTCCTCATGCCTTGGTCCTGGCTCAGACCTGTGCTATGGTCACAGATGGGGCAGGGACACAGGGGCGGGGCCCTTTCAGAGTTCCCCGAGGGTGGCCGCAGTGGTGGAGCGTGTGAGGCAGGACTGTGTGGACTCCCAGTGTGCGAGGGGCTTCCGAGCCCACCCTTTGCCTTTGCTCTAGTGGATGCCTCTGCACTGGGGAACTCAGCACACACTAGACGGCAGTAGTGATGCCCTGGGAGTCCCGCTGCAGGCTGGGTGGAGTGAACGCTGTTTGCAGGAGGTCTGGCTACTGCTGCACCTCACACCCTCTGCCCGGAGCCTCGTCCTTCAGACTCCAGGGTCCTGGTAAAGCAGCTACTGTGCTCACCCTGCAGCTGGCCAGAGAGACCCCCAAAGAGGCTGCTGCTGTGTAGTTTAGGAGCGAGTTTTTAGCAGCCTTCCCCAGTCCTGGGACCCAGGAGGCAGAATCCCCTGGGGGCAGTCAGCCTTGCCCTGCTGTTCCAAGTTTAGAGACCGGGGCTGGTGTCACACAACTGAGGGACACAGGTCCCTGACGCATGGCTCCCCGAGTTCCCTGGTTTGCGGTTGCTGTGCTGGGCCACTGGTGTAGAGGCCCCCGACGGCCACCCCAGGCCTGTGTCATGGAGGACGCCACTTCCTGAGGGTCTGCTCGGGCTAGAGGCTCAGCTCGGCAAGGTCACCCACATAGCACCAGTTGCCTGCTGTTTCTGTGCCAGGCTCACTGAGTGCTTCTCTTTCTCCCTGGGCTCTGTGCTGGTGAAAGTCGCCACCTCTCACCGGCCAGCCCCCCTCCTGGTGGGCTGATCACCTGAGCGTGTCTCTGGGTGGGCTTAGAGGGAGCAGAGACGTCCACTGCATGGTTCAGCCAGCAGCGAGGCTCCCACGCATCCTCTGGCTGCTGCTTCTAATTCCTGGTTCCCTTTCTCCAAAGGTGTCTTCTGTTCTTGTTGGAGCTCCGGCCATCACTGGGAGTGACCGACCGAGGCCGCAGAGATGGCCGGGGCCTCGGTGAAGGTGGCGGTGCGCGTCCGCCCCTTCAATTCCCGGGAGATGAGCCGAGACTCCAAGTGCATCATCCAGATGTCGGGCAGCACCACCAGTGAGTACCAGGGACCCAGGTGGCCATCAGCTGCTCCCTCTGCCCTGTGCCCACTGGCCAGGCACTCCACCTGGCACGGGCCTGAGAGCCCTGAGCCCTCTGTGCGCACGCGCTGCGTGAGTCCTGGGGCTGTAGATCACTTGAAAGCACCCGCTTCTCAGAGTGCCGAGGGCCAGAAGTCAGGAGTCAGGCCTGGTGGCCACACTGCGCGTCTCCGCTGCTGTCTGTGTCTTCGTTTCCACGTGGCCTCCCTGCGAGGGCCCTGGGTTCCACCTGAATCCAGGACAGCCTCATGTTAACAACTGACCACAGCTTTTGTTTTGTTTTGCTTTTGTGGTACTAGAGATCAAACCAAGGGCCTTTGCCCTGAGCTACGTCCCCAGCCTTCTTTTCATTTTTTATTTTGAGACAGAGTCTTGCTAAGTTGTCACTACACTTAAACTTGCAATCCTCCTACCTCAGCCTCTGAGAGAGCTGGGATTACAGACATGAGCCACCATGCTTGGTTTGACTCCATCTTTAAATACCTGTGTGCAGATAGGCCACACTCTGAGATCCTGGGAGTGCGGCTGTGAGCAGACGCTGTCTAACTCAGAGCACACAGTTCCTGCACCCGCTTTCCCCCTTGCCCGTTCCTTCTCTGTGCTTCTCCTTCTGAGCCTCCCGGACCTCTGATCTGCAGGAGTCCTGGCCCAACGTGAGGGTCAAGACCAAGAAGGGAGGATGGCAATGTCCAGTGGCCAAGGAGACAGGCCTGCCCCCGCCCCCTGCCCAGGGTCTCCTGAGCAGTGGGATTTGCCTGCCAGGTGTGGGAGAAAGGAGCCGGCTTCTGCGCCTCCCCTACTCTGTCTTCCACTAGACAAGGGCTTTACTAACTTGTAGCAGGCAGCCAGTGTGGCGGTCGGCTCGCAAGGTGCGCATGCCAGGGAGCCCAGTGGCCCCTCTGTGCCCACTCCCTGTTCCTCCCACCATGGGGAGCTGCTGGCCTGGCTCCTGACAGCATGGTGGCTCAAGCCTGCTTTGCAGTCCTGCACAAATTCGTCCCACATCTGGGCTGCCCGTGCCGGCAGATGTCTGCAGTGATGCTCGCAGCCCATGTCTTGGGGTGAGGACCAGCTGCCACCTCGGTGTGTGGCTGGCTGGGCTCAGTACACACCTGGGTCTTGTGTTGCTGTCACCCGTGCTGCAGTAGCAAGTGGTCAGCCCCATCGCCTGGTCCTGGGGCATGGGAGGACGGCAGGGCCTAGCCACTGCCAGCTTTGCACAGCCTCCTAGCCTGTGGCCTTGGACTTGCACAGGCTGCCTAGAACAGGGCCTTCTGCTCTGCAAGCAGGGCTGCCTGGATGTCACCCATGCCTACTGAGGACCAGTGTGTGTATGGAGGAGCCATGAGGCACCTCAAGGTCCCATAGTTCTGAAACCTCACTCTCCCTGAGAAGCCCCAGACCCCACCACCTTGAGCTGGCTGGGGTGCCATGGCGGGTGCTCCTGCTGCAGACCCAGGGCTGGCCTGGGTGTCAGCAGTGGCCGCACATGCCTTTCCTCTCTGCAGCCCATGCCTTTGCTTACAGAAGGGCAAACTTTGGCACTTCTAGAAGCCCATCCTTAGCTCTGGGTGCTGGCTGGTGACGGGCCCCAGCCACACCAGAGAATCAGCCCAGTGGTGGGGCCGCTTGTGCCCAGCTCTCTTGCTGGCACCCTTGGCTGGTGCCCTTGGTTTCCCTACCTGTGCTTCAGGTTCCCCCCTGACTGGCACTTCTGAGGCCTTGGCCACACAGGGGAACCCTGGGGTTGAGGGTGCCTCTGTCCCCAGCTCTGCTGTGCTGTGCAGGGGGGACCTGGGGCCTGGGTGCTGGCTAGTAGGGTCACGGCCAGGGCTGGATCCACCCCATGCTCAGCCCCACCCAAGGTGCAAGGAGCTGGGTCACCACAGCAGGGAGATGTCGCTGTCACAAACCGAGTGGCTGAAGAGGACAGAAGCTGTGGCCCCATGGCCTAGAGCCCAGGGTGGAGCCCGGTGCCTCCAGAGCAGATGGGGGTCTCTCAGGGTCTGGTGGCTGAAGTCTGAGGCCCAGGGGCTGCAGGCTCCACTGCTGGTGAGGCCCTGTCGCAGCCTGCACGTGGCAACGTCTGTCTGCCTGCGTCCTTGCATGGTTGGGTGCTCTGGTCTCTTCCATGTCCTGTTAACCCACAGTCCCCATGGGGGCCCCACCCTCATGGCGTCTTCCAACGCGGTCACTCCCAAGGTCCTCCCTCTGGATACCACCTCCAGGGAGTCCTGAGGGCCATGGCCATGTCCTCTGGGCTCCGTTGCCAGGCAGCAGCCCTCCCACCCCCCGCTCTGTGTGCTCCTGCTGCAGGGCCCGTTCAGACTCTGGGAATGTTGCTGAGTCAAGTGCATTTCCCGCCGGTGCACAATGCCCGTCCGGCCCCCGCGTCCTCCTCTCTGGGTGGCCGTCCTTTCCACTGAGTGGCCGTCCTGTGCAGGCCCCTTTGTGTGTCTTGCCCTGGAAGGCCCCCAGCTCTGAGCATGGCAGGGCCAGAGCAGGAAGGGGCGGGGGCCTTGGAGTGTGGCCTGTTGAGTGGCCCCTCACTCCTGAACTTTAGCTGGGGGCTGTGGTGAGGGAAGCACCCCCAGAGGACCCCACCGCGCAGAGCCACCGTCTCTGGGGGAAGCAGGCTGTCTGTCCCCCAGGCCTTTGCAGGCCCCGAGGGTGGGAGGTACAGAGGTCCAGACCTGGAGAGTGCTGGGTTCCAGTGTGGCCTGGGGGAGGCCATTTCCTCTCTGGAGCTTGGGACCCCGTCTGTAATGACTGAGGGTGTTGTCAGTCACCCGCAGAACCCCCAAGTTGGGATTGGGAAGGGGTCAGGCAGGTGCCAGGCCCGAGGGACTGCCGGGTGGGTGCTAGGGAAATTCTCCCCACAGGCCCCTTGCAGCGTGAACCGGCAACCCCTCCATGCTCAGCTTGGATCACCTGCGGGAGGGCCTGCCTCAGTTTCAAGAATGAGCTGGTCAGAATCAGCTGGCGATTCTGCAGGGCTCTGTGGCCCAGTCTGGCGATGGCCTTGGGCACCCCAACCATGCAAGGACTCAGGCAGACTGAGAACTCAGGCAGCAGAGTCCTCCACAAAGAGAGAGGGGCAGAGGCAATCACCCCCCGCCGGAAGCATAGCTCTGGTCCCCTCCTACTTGGGTGTTGGGCTTGCCTGGAGCCAGAGACCTCCTGGGACCTGGCTTCTTGCACAGAGTGGGGACTCTGGCTGGCTGGGTCCTGGCTCAGTGCTAACCACCTTGCCTGTGTCCCCTCCCACAGCCATCGTCAACCCCAAGCAGCCCAAGGAGACGCCCAAGAGCTTCAGCTTCGACTACTCCTACTGGTCACACACCTCGGTGAGCCAGGGCTGGGGGCAGGCAGGCTGGCGGTGTGGACACCTGCCCAGCCCAGTCCACTGGGCGGCCCTCCCGAGTCCTGGGCCTCTGTGAGCCACACAGCTCCCTCTGAGCAGGGTGTCACCTGGAGCTGACACACATGCTGCCAGGGTGGGGTGTGTGTCCACTTGCCCCACACCCCAAACTCAGAAAAGCCCACAGCTGAGCCCAGGGGATGCCCCTCCCACCGACATCCAGTGCCCACCAGGCCCTTGCCCTGCCTGCCTCTCTGGGGGTCCTTCTAAAATCCCCAGCACTGCCCATCGAATTCCCACAACACCGCACATCTCCGAGCACCTAACCCCCACTTCTGGTTCCATCCAGTCTGACCCCCTCCCAGGGTGACCCTGCTTAGGGCCAGGCAGGCCTCTGCCTAAAGTGTCCCTTGCCCTCAAGTCAGCGTCTGGACGCCATTGCCCGGCTCGTGGGGGCCCTGGGCCTCTGGGCCTCCTCTCTAGCCCCGCGCTTGTCATCCCTGCCACGGACACCCTAGCTGGCTCCCCCGCCCATCCCAGCTGCTCCCCACCCTTCACTTGTGACCCACAAGGCCCTCCCCAGGCAGGGCTGGGGTGGCGGGCTCCTCTCCACACTGCTGTGCAGCCAGCTGGGCCCTGAGGCCCCAGCCCAGGCTCCAGAGCCGGAGGGTGGGGGGCGGGCAGCCACGCCTGGGGTGCACACAGCCTCCTGCAGCCGCGTCTCTTCCGCCCTCAGCCCGAGGACATCAACTACGCCTCGCAGAAGCAGGTGTACCGCGACATCGGGGAGGAGATGCTGCAGCATGCCTTCGAGGGCTACAACGTGTGCATCTTTGCCTATGGGCAGACGGGCGCCGGCAAGTCCTACACCATGATGGGCAAGCAGGAGAAGGACCAGCAGGGCATCATCCCCCAGGCATGTGGCAGAGCATGGTGGGAGGGCATCATCCCCAGGCACGCGGCGGAGCATGGTGGGAGGCGGCCGTGTGGCCGAGTACGGGGGCCGTTGCAGGGGAGCAGGCCCTGCACAGGGTGGCTCAGTTCTCTGAGGGGCTGGAATGGGAAGTTGAGTCAGGGACCCGGGACAGCCCACCACGGAGTCACATGCAGCTCCTGGGCTGCCGCTGGGGTCCGCCCGCCCCACCCCCACCTGGCAGGTTTCTACACCCCAGCACGGAACCTGTCTGAAGAAGGAAGAACGTGGGGTCCCATGGGACGGTGCCCCAGCCCTCACGCAGATAAGGACAGGGTCACAGCAGATGACCTATAGAAAAGGTCATGTGCCAGCGGGACCAGGGTTAGCAGATCCAGTCCCTGGCTGCAGCCCCTCCGGGCACCTTTGTGTGGCATCTGCACTGTGAAAATCTGACAGGGGCCTGGGGGCCCACAGTGCCACAGGGGCAAGGCTGCAGGTGGCCCCGGCCCTCACTCGCTGACTGTGTGCCCTAACCTTGCAGCTCTGTGAAGACCTCTTCTCTCGGATCAATGACACGACCAATGACAACATGTCCTACTCTGTGGAGGTGGGTCTCCTGCCCCATCTCTGCCCTAGCCAGTCGGTCCCTCACACAGCCTCACGAGGCCAGCTGGACTCCAAGACTCACAGGGCAACTGGGCTGGCCTGGGCTGAGCACCTATCCTGTGCCCAGCACGCCTCTGAGCTGTGGGGCCTGGGGTGACCACGGGGCAGGTACTGCTGGGTGTGACCGAGGGGAGGGCCAGCCAGGGGCATGCACTGACACCCACACTCACATGGCTCACACCACAGGCTGGGCCCTCAGTACCCCCAGCCCACTGCCAGCCTTGTGCCACGGGGCGTCCCTGATGGCCCCCTGCCCCATAGGTCAGCTACATGGAGATCTACTGCGAGCGTGTCCGTGACCTCCTGAACCCCAAAAACAAAGGCAACCTGCGCGTGAGGGAGCACCCCTTGCTGGGGCCCTATGTGGAGGACCTCTCCAAGCTGGCTGTCACTTCCTACAATGACATCCAGGACCTCATGGACTCAGGGAACAAGGCCAGGTGCGTGGGGGCGACTCGCCAGCCCTCCAGTCTCCACTGGCCTTGTTGTTGGGGTGTCTGTGGGTCTCCTGATGGCTCTGGTGGTCTCCTGAGGAAGTGTGGGCCTGAGACATGAGGCCAGGAGGGCATTGCCACGCTGAGAGGCCTTGGGACCCTGTGCCGGGACCACTGTCACTGCTGTCAGAGCTGCTCCTCCGAGGGGCATGGCCTCTGGCTAAGGGGTGAAGTGGGGTCAGCAGCAGCTGCCTCCTGTGGAGCCCCTCTCTGCCCCCAAGGGCAAGGGATCTTCGGGGCCCAGGGCCCAGGGATGTGTGGAGTGGACTCACAGGGAAGTGTCCATTGCCTGGGGCTGCCCACCATAGGCAATCCACCTCCTTTGCCACCACTGCCTGGGTCTCTTTCTTAGGGTGCTCTGGTTGTCATGGCAACAGCTGTCCCCCTCTGTGCCGGGCAGGGGCTCCAGGGAGGGTGAGGCGATTGTCCGTGCTGCCCTGAGCAGTGCTTGTGGAGGGTCCTGAACTCCGTGGCAGCGCGTGCGCATTCTCCCTGGCATGGCCTCTGGAAGCTCCTGCAAGTCTCTGCTACCCTCTGTGCCCGGGCAGGCACTGGGTCGCACACACAGTGGACTGAGTCTTGGGGAAATTGCTCTGAAGACCCTGGCAGGTTAGGCAGCGTTGGGACCAGCCCAGGCTCCTCAGGCAGCCTTTGGGCTCTGCCCCTCACACGACCACGCTACTGACCCAAGTCACCTGCAGGCTGAGGACCTCAGTGGTGGGCGGGCAGGGGCCGCGCTGGTGGAGAAGGCACAGCCATCCCTAGGCCAGGCAGAGCAGCCCCGTGGGCCAGAGCTCTGAGGCCTGGTGACCTGGTTCATGAGTTGGCGTCACCAGCGACCCTGGTGCTGACCGCGGGACAAGCACTGACCTCGGGTGGCTTCCCGTCCAGGACCGTGGCGGCCACAAACATGAATGAGACCAGCAGTCGCTCCCACGCCGTCTTCAACATCATCTTCACCCAGAAGCGCCACGACGCGGAGACCGACATCACCACGGAGAAGGTAAGCTGGCGCTGCAGCGGCCCTGAGGGTGGCCAGGCTGGGCGGGAGTGTGACTGGGAAAGGACGGCGAAACAGACGCCCGCTCCTGGGGGGTGGTGCCGCCATCCCAGCCCTGCACCAGGCTGTGGGGGTGACCAGACCTGTGGTGACCAGACCTGGGCTCCGGCCCCTCTGCCTCCTGCCGGTGGAGGTGGAGGTTACAGGCTGTGTTTTGAGCACCCTGCATGCCGCAGGCCTGGGACAAGGTGCAGCACAGGCGTGTGGCAGGTCGTGTGAGTGCCCTCAGGAGACGTCCCTGGGCCCCTGGTGCAGGCTGGCAGGGCAGCAGTCTCCGCCCTCACTGGGGCCTCGCACTGGGCATAGGACCTCTGGTGGACGCTGGTGTCTCCAGGTACAAAGATGCCCTGTGCTGGAGGGCACCACCCTTCTGAATCTGCCCACATGCCTTGACATGCTCCGTGGATAGGGCAGGGCTTTTCTGCCCACAGGCCAGGCTGTGGGCTCCCAAAGGGGGAGCTCGGGGCACTGAGCCATTTGTGTATGGCTGTGCCTCTCTGTCCCGTGGGCCAGGGGTGATGGGGGTCATGCTGTCCTCTCAGCCGCCTTCCAGGTTGGGAGCTCCTCTCGGGGCTAGATGAGGTCTACGTCAGGCCCTGGTGTTGGTGGCACCTCAGCCTGGTGCCATCCTCCTCTGACCCAGTGAACAAGGGTGGGAGGCCCAGGAAGGTTAGTGAGGGCCTGAGGACCAGTGGGAAGTATCCAGCTGGAGCCAGATAAGTCGGGGCCTCTAGGGTCCTTCTGTGTCCATGACCTGTTAGATATCCTGGGGCTTGGAGGGGCTGAGCCTCTCAGGGTGCTCGTGGCTGCCTCTCTGAGGGGCAGCTGGGGGTGGCCAGGCCCCCTGGAAAGCCATCCGTGGAAGGCATGACAGAGACAGGCCACGGCGTGTGAGCACCTCTGTTGCACGAGGAGCAGCTAGGTGCAAGGGTGCATGGCCCTTTGCTGGAACCACGGCACAGAGGGTAACAGGGATGGGAGATGGGCCTCAGGCAGCGGCCTGGCTATGGCTCCACGGAGGCTTCCAGGGGCCGTCTCCGAGGGAGCCTCTGCCTTTCCAGGTGAGCAAGATCAGCCTGGTGGACCTGGCCGGGAGTGAGCGGGCCGACTCCACTGGAGCCAAGGGCACGCGCCTCAAGGTAGGGCTGGGCCTCCAGGCCCCTTGTGAACAGCAGGCTGCTGGGGAGGCCCAGGTGGGCTGGGCAGGAGCTCAAGGCCACACGGAAGAGCAGGTTCACTGAGGTGAACAAGGACCAAGGCCTGGCTGCACATTGTCTTCTGCAGGGCCCTCCTGGCCCTCACGTGACCCAGGAAGAATGCAGCCGGCCAGCGTCCCCATGGGAGCAGGAAGGGGCAGTTTCCATGTCCTGTACCTGTCTTTGGTCCCTGCTGTGCTCTGTGGCTGGAAAGGGTACTAGAGGTTGTACTAGGTGGGGACGTGCGTGCGTTGCTAGGACACCCATGGAGCCAAAGAGACACGCTGGGCAAATGGCATCCTCAGCTGGGGGGCTCTGACCAACTTCTTGTTTTGACATCCCCTACCCCTGGTGGCCCCAGAGGTCAGCAGTCCAGGCTGGCGCTCAAGCCCAGGCCACACCGGCTGGGCCCGGGGGACCAAACTGGAGTCAGAGGCTTCTGATGCTTCCTGACGTCAGGTACCTTTTCCACACAGGAGGGCGCCAACATCAACAAGTCCTTGACCACGCTGGGGAAGGTCATCTCTGCCCTGGCGGAAATGGTGAGCAGGCTTGGGCCTCTCAAGCCGGGTCGGTGGGATGAACTGAGGAGGTGGTTTCTTTGCTGTTGTTCTCTGAGGAAGAGGCTTGGGCCTGGCATGCCTGATCCCAGGAACCATCTCTGGCACGGTTGCTGGGGTGTACAGGAGAGCCAGAGATGGGGAGTGGCAGAGGGCTGCTGATGGAGTGGCAGTGTTTGTGCTCCCTGGAGCCTCAATTTTCCTACCTGTGAAATGGGGGTGTGTGTCTTCCTCACAGGCCCTTTTGAGGGTCAGCATGGGCCATGGTGAGCAGAGTGGTGGTCATCTCTGGCCTCATTGGCCCAATCCAGGCCATCCTGCGGGGCAGCCATAGTCCTCGGAGGGTGGGCTGGGCAAGGTGGGCCTGGAGGCAGGCGGCATCACCCATTGCCCAGACGCCAGGCTGCGGACAGGGGAGGGTAACACTCGGAAACTTCCGGGTGTCGGAGGATTGCTGGCTGACAGCAGCCTGAAAGCTCACACTGCCATCTGACTGCCTGCAGGACTAGTTCAGGGTGACCACCCATGGCTGGGCAGTGCATGGTGGATGCCTGGCACATGCCCGGGCCTCTGCCCACTCCTCTGTCCTTAGGAGCCAGCCTCTTCCCCTCACCATTCCCTGGGCCCAGCCTCACTCCAGGTCCTCAGACACTTTCTGTCCTTTTGTTTCAGGACTCTGGACCCAATAAGGTGAGTTTCCTCCTTTAATCCTGGGGAAGGGCCTGGAGGGCCCCCTTGGCCGAGGCTCCCACACGCGCCCCGGTGCTGAGCCTGCTCTTCACACCTGCGGCCCAGGGGACAGCGCGGTGCCTGTTTTCTCGGTGCAGGTGTGGGGGTGTGGTAGGGTAGACACGAAGACAGGAAAGGAGAAATCCACAGCTAAGGATCGGAATGGGTTCTGTGAAGGGAAAATGGTTATGAAAGTGACCGTAAGTGAGACAGTCCCAGTGGATGGCGGCCTCAAGCAGAGACCCGAGGAGCGGACAGGAGCAGCAGGCAGGGGAGCAGCAGGCAGCTCTCCCGTGTCATGGGAAGAGCCGATGTGACGTGCAGAGGTGTGAGAGGTTGGTGCCTGTGGGGAGCCCTGGAGGAGCTGAGAAGTAGAGGAAGTGTGCAAAAGGTGTGTGGAACTGTGTGAAGAGCAGTGTGGGTAGTGTGTGAAGAGGTGGGGAAGGGGGAGTTGTGTGAGAGGGACTTCGGGAGCTGTGAGACACTGTGATAGACCGGGGACACGCGTGAGGAAGCGTGGGGAAGCGTGGGGGAGTGTGTGGAGAGGGCGGGGAAGGGACGAGGTGAGAGGAATGTGGTGCCGGAGCAGTGTGAGCATGTGTGAGGAGGTGTGTGGGGGACGGGGCACGGGACGTGTGTGAAGAGCTGGGAGTCTGTCTGCGTGAGAGGAGCTGTGCTGACGACTGGAACCCCGCGGTGGACGAGGAAGTGTGCAGCGGTGACACCTAGGCTGGGAGCTCAGGGGGACGGGAGCAGACGCTTGGGGGGCCGTCTGCGAGCAGTGCCAGATGCAGGGAAGTGTGTGAAGAGCTTCGTGGGGGCTCCCTCAGAGCCTGGAGGGACAGTGACTTGTGAGGAGCTGCGGTCGTGAGGAAGGCCGTGACGGCAGGAGCTTGTGGAGCCGCGTCAGTGGCATCGGGAGCTGAATGTGGGCTTGAGCTGTGAGCAACGTGTGGTGCTGGGATGGTGCAGGCATTGTGCAGGGACGGTGAGAGCCGCCCGGGCAGCTGAGCAACCTGAGCGACCCCGTGGGGCCGTGGGGGGTGCGGCCGCATGAAGACGGCCGGACGCTGAGGAATGCAGAGGACGGCGCGGGGCCGTGTGGAGAGCACAGGGGCGCAGGGAGCATTCGGGGCCAGGGCAGGAGGAGCCACGTGGCAGCTGGTTGTGCAAGGGCGTGGGCGGCGGCGTAGCTCTGCGTGGGCCGTGAGATGCGCAGCGCGAGTGTCTGCGTGGAGCTGCGCGAAGTCACGTGGAGGACCGTGAGGGGTCGTGTGGAGCGCTGAGGAGAGGACGCGCTGGCGGCTGTGACAGATTGTGAAGAGCTGCGTAGGAAATGTGTGGGTTTTGTGAGGAAGTGCGAGGGGAGCCACGTGGGGATGTCTGGGGAAGCACGAGGAAGGGTGTGGGGAAGCGAGGAGCGCAGCCGGCGGTGGCCGGGGCGCCCGTGTGCAGCTTGAGCTGCATGGGGACTCCGAGGTGGGCCTGAGAGGGCTGCGCAGGGACTGGCGGTGATGTGGGAGACCTGCGTGGGGCCACGCGATCGCCCTGTGAGGGGCGGTGGAGCAGCTGCCTCCCGGCTCCGAGGCTTTGCAGGCTGCTTGAGGAGGGTACAGGAAGCCCGGGACGTGCAGGGGCCAGGACAGGCCGCAGGTGGTCCGGGCGCCTCGCCTGGCTCCCTGGCTGCTGGCGGTTTAACAGGGAGCGGAGGGTGGCGTTGAGCAGTGCTCACAGAGGCCAGTCTGATCTGGAAGGTGCCGGGTGTCGACAGGGAGTGAGGTGGCCTGCGGCAGACGGAAGGGGGAGTCAGTTGCAGTGGCTTGAGGTGGCGAGGCTGGGGAGGGGCAGTCACGCTTCTGGGGGCAGCAGGCAGGAGGAGAGGCGAGGAGGCAGTGGGGGAGCCAGGCCGTGTGCTGAACCCTTGCTGAAGGGGCTGTGTGTGTGCAGGGCTCTCACCATGGAAACAAGAACACGACAGAGAATCAACCTCAGAAACCAAATAATCAAAAAGCAAACTAGAAGGAGTTTTTCTCCTGCTAACCTCCAAGGGGGAAACAGAAAGCCCCCTCCATGCAGGGGCTGGGCGCCCGTAGCCCTGCTCGCAGAGAAGCCCGTGCGGCATCGCCGACCTCCCCCTTTGACGTGTCATGGGCTTCCTGGAGTTGGGGTTCCCTGTGAGCAGGAAGGGCTCCTGGGACCGCCCCAGAGAACAAGGGTGATGTGTCTGTGCCCAGGACAGCATGCCGTCCTCGAGGTGGCGCTGTGTGCCCTCCCCCTGGGCTCGGGCGGGGGCCGGTCTGCTGGCCACAGCAGTGCTCTGCTGCACAGGCATGCACAAACCAGAGTGACTGGCGTCCGCCGTGCATGGAGTCGGGCCGGCCCCGCGTGCATATCCGGGCTGCCGTTTCCTGGCATGGCCGGGGCTGCTGCTTGCCTTAGCAGGGACAGGGCCACAGAGCGAGCGGGCAGGAGGAGGCGCTCACGCCGAGGCAGCAGTGGGGACAGACGGCTAGGGAGGGGGTCCAGGGCGGGGGCAGGCAGATTCCTCGTGGAGGGGGAGAGGAGCTGGGGGTACGGGCAGAACGAGGGCCTGCGGCCCCGCACCCCTGGTGGGGCCTTTTCCTTTGGTGGAGAGGTGGTTGGTGGGTTAAAGGTGGGTGACAAGCCCAGCGTGGCCCCTCTGACAGCACCGGGGGCTTCGCTGGGCAGTGGCACCCACCCGCTGAGTTTGGTCCAGCTCTCAGATGTGGGAGGAAGTGCACAGGACTGGCTCGTCCCTAATTCCAACCCTGAATGGAGTGGCCAGTAGGTGGCACCCTGGAGTTCAGGGTTGGGGTCACTCTGAGGAAACAGCAGGTCTCGCCCTGCCCCTGCCCTGTCTCGACAGAACAAGAAAAAGAAGAAGACGGATTTCATCCCCTACAGAGACTCTGTGCTGACCTGGCTCCTCCGGGAAAACCTGGGTGAGGGCTCCAGAGCCCCCTTTTCCTGGGGTGCTGGTGGGATTCTGGGTGGAGCCCATCTTCCTGCCTGGGTACCCAGCAGCAGGGGCGCCCCGCACTTCTGCACAAGGCTGTTCACAGCACAGCCCTTCTGCAAGACTTGGGCAGAGGTGGGCAGCGACCTAAACAAAGCAAGTTGGGGGCCAGTATGGCTCGGGCCATCCACACCACCCTGGGCTCAGCCTTCCTGGGAGTGGTCGGGTAGCAACCAGACCACATGGCCCCCCTTCTTTGGTTCTCGTGGACCCCACAGTGAGGACCTGGGCCTCCATGGTCCGGAGAGCCCTGCTTGCCTGCTGGGTTGTTGAGGTGCCGTGTAAAGTCCCCTCCTCCTCGCCCGAGTCCTGAGCACGGGAAACATACAGGGAGGTGAGGCCTGCACCACGCCTCACGCCCACCTTGGGGCCCCCTCCCCCATGTCCTCAGGGTCCTCCCTGCAAAGTTTACTGCACAGAAACTGATGCACCGCTGAGTCCCAGGCTGAGCCCCTGGTGTTTCTGGCCCTCCTAGCTGCATGGCTGTACACCCTACAACCAGCCGGGCCAGCACCCACGTGGGCCTCATGGATTCAGGCTGCCAGGTTGGCACCCACCAAGAAAGGACAGTAGTGTCACAGGAGCATTGTCTCTTTTTTTCCCTGAGATGTGGCCTGGGGAGCAGGCCTCCCCCACAGGGCCAGGCCCTGGTTCACTCCCAGGGTGGAGACAGGGAGACCCCCACAGAACCCACCTTGAGACATGCATGACACTGCCAGGGCCTTCACACTGATACCTCAGGCCCTGTAGACACTCCCAGGGTGCTACTCCCAGGACATGGGCTCAAAGACATGGGTTCTGGAGGTGGAGCATGCAAGACCATCTGTCCCAACCTGGGGCAGGTAGGTGGCTCCTGAGGGCCTGGCGGGGTCAGTGGGGACCTCGTGGGGGCTGCCACCGCCTCCAGCGAGGAAGGAAGCTGTTGGTGTCCCTGCAGTGCAGCACCTAGTCAGGGAAGTTGATGTTAAAAACTGAAAAAGATGTTTCAGATGAGAGTGATGAATGTGTAGAGCAGCTCTTGTCTTGGAGGAAATTCCATGAAACCCTCCACAGTTTGCTGCTTTGCTGCAGGGAAAGGGTGGCTTCAGGTGTGAGAGGAGAAATGGGGGTGACAGAGCAGCAGGGGGCAGCCCCGATGTTGTCTGTACACCAGGTGGGCCTGTGACTCGTTTCCTCCCTGGGCTCAGAGTCCCCGTCTGGGAGAGCAGGTGGGATGGAGGTGGGAAGACCCAGGCCCAAGGCTGGGACCCTCTCCTGGATCCTGGTGGTCTTCCCACAGGTGGTAACTCAAGGACAGCGATGGTGGCAGCCCTGAGTCCTGCAGATATCAATTATGACGAGACCCTCAGCACACTGAGGTGCGTCCTTCAGGGTCCCTGCTTCCTACTCTGCAGGAAGGGACTTAACAGCTCTGGTGGGGCTGCCTCTTGGGGGTTCACCGAGACTGTGAGTCTGGAGGTGACTGTTCTGGGGCTCCTGGGCTTCACAGGCCACTCTGTCCTCACCACTCCTTGGGTGTGCTCTGGGACTGCAGGCAGCCCAGCGCCGCGCGGGACCAGGTGGAAGAGCTGTGCTGCTGGCCATGGGAGCCAGGGGCTTTCGGGGGTGAAGGGTCATGAGTCTGCCTCCACAGACCCTGGGTGGGGACGCAGAGGCGGCTTAGTGCTGGGCTTGGTGGGCTCTGGCTCCTGTGAGCGCGAACTCTGGTGCACATCCTGCGTTTGCTGACACCTGGGCCTCGGTCTCCTCAAGTGCACCAGTGAGGCAGGCCGGGGGAGGGGCACCCGAGATTCTCCCCAGATCAGTGGCCTCAGAGGCCATCCGAAGTGGCCCGCGGTGGGAGTAACTTCTCTTGGTGCCAGGCTGGGCTGAGCACCTGCCCAGGCTGAGTCCCAGGCAGGGCTCTGGGCATGTTGGGGCCCGGGCACAGACCTGCCCCTCAGCCCACACGCCCCTCGGCTGCCCAGGTATGCCGACCGGGCCAAGCAGATCCGCTGTAATGCCGTCATTAATGAGGACCCCAACAACAAGCTGATCCGAGAGCTGAAGGATGAGGTGACCCGGCTTCGGGACCTGCTGTACGCCCAGGGTCTTGGTGACATCACCGACAGTGAGTGTCTGTGCCCATCAGTGTCTTGGGCAGGGCCTCGTGGGGCATGGGATGTCACACCCTCTCTCCTGGGGCCCCGCCCACCAGCTGTGACCAGGCCTGGGGGAGGGCAGTGGAAGCCGCCAGGTCCCTGACCCTACCCCGCCCCTGTTTCTGGTGGGGGGAGGGTGTGCTTCCTCTGGGCGGGAGTTGGATCTTCTGGCTTGGCCTGGATGGAACTGCCTGGCCCAGGTTTGGAGGTGGCCCAGGCAGGCCCAGTGTGTCTTCCTGGGGCCTGTGGCAGTCGGGTGCTGGGAGATTGACGGGCCCCGTCCCCATGCTGAAGACCTCCACCACCTACCTGTGGCCGCCCGCCTGCCCACGGGCTGGGTGTGCAGACCCTCTGGACCCAAGCCTGCTCTTCTGTTTCTCTGTCTCTCTCCCCACGCCTACCCTCCCCGTAGCCAACACTGTGCCCGGAGGACCCAAATGTGTGTATTCCCCACCGCTGCTCTGCACGGCTTCCGCCTGGCTGCAGGGGCACAGGGCAGCGTGGGCGGGCGGGTCCTTTGCATCCTCCTCAGAGCTGCAGTGTGGGTGACCCCACTCTGGATCCATCCCTGTCCGTGTGGAAAGGGAGACAAAGGATGATGGGGTGCAGCTTGGCCTTTTGGGAGGCCGCAGTGGCTTAGGTCAGACCTTTGACCCTATGCACTGGGAGGCCCAGAAAGGTCAGAATGCTGGTGGCTGAGGGTGGTCCCACCCTGGCTGCTGGCTTAGGCTGCCTCTGCTGGCCGCCTTTCCACCTGCCCCCATGCCCAGGGCTGGTCTAGATGCTCTGGCAGTGCTGCTAAGTCGGGCCTGGCTCTGTGTTTCCCTGGGCTGGCTCCATGGGCTGAGTCCCCTTGGTCTCCCTGGTGCCAGGTGCTGCCCTATGCTGGCTGCTGCTCTTTCTGCTTCTGTGGGGAGGGACTGGGCACGCCACCTGGTGCCACTGCCCAACTCCCAGGCCCCTGCGGGGTTGAGCCCTGGGTGGTGGAGGACAGGGTGTGCCTCGCGGGTCTTCTGCTCCCCTCCTCCTCCATGTGATCTCTGGGCCAGTCTGCTTGGTGGGGCCTCATGGTTAGTGCAGCCCCGCCCCTCAGCTCGGAGAGGATGGGGAGGGCTGCGGGGCCTGGTGCTCTTGGGCTGGGGTGGCCCAGGATGGGGCAGGGCAGAGTGGAGCCCCCGGGGTGCAGTGGGCCATGGGGTGCTACTGCGGGGAGTGTGGGACAGCAAGGCCTTGCATGCGCTTGTCTTGGCCCTGGCGGGCTGCTGCTGAGCGTGATTTGCGTTTTTGGCCTTCTCTCAGCCCCACACCTGGCCCTTTCCCAACTGTGTCTCTTTTCTCTCCCTCCCACCTGTCTGTCCACCTCACCCGCCGTAGACATGTCCGACCTTGAGAACAATAACCGTAACCATGGTGAGGCCGCCCTGAGTCCAGCCCCTGACCCTCTCTCCACAGTGACCAACGCCCTGGTGGGCATGAGCCCCTCATCCTCGCTGTCCGCCCTGTCCAGCCGTGCGGCCTCCGTATCCAGCCTGCACGAGCGCATCTTGTTTGCCCCAGGCAGTGAGGAGGCCATTGAAAGGCTGAAGGTGAGGATCCGGCAGACCAAGGGTGCTGCGGGGGCGATGGGGGGCCGGCACTGAGGCAGGGTGACTGTAGGGAGGAGGGAGGGCCCCACTGGGGTGTCAGGCCGAGCCTTGTCCTTGCTGGGATGCAGTCGTCTGCACAGGCCTGAGCGATGCAGCTGGAGAAGTGTCCGGCCTGTGGCACCAGGGGAAGAGTGGCCTGTGCTCAACCACAGCAGTGCGTCCCGGCCAGGAAGGACGCAGGCAGTGCCGATGCTGGGACGCGTGGTCGACCTGGAGGGGCCGGCTGTGCTCCGAGCCCACAGTCTGGGGTGCCTGCTTCTCCTCCTCTCCTGATTGTCTTGCCTTGCCTGTCCTCGGGCGTCTGCAGGAGAGACCCACGTCCCTGGGCTTCACCTTGGTCTTTGTCTTGGCTCCCAGATGGGCCCAACGGTCTGCATCCTTTCCTGGCACCTGGGTCTCTGTCCCCACCTCACCCCACTGGGACCTCACTCTACTCCCTTCCACTCCAGGAGACAGAGAAGATCATTGCCGAGCTCAATGAAACCTGGGAGGAGAAGCTGCGGCGGACGGAAGCCATCCGGATGGAGAGGTGAGTGCGGGGAGGCTGGGGATAGCCAGGGAGTTCGCAGCCCAGGCAGGACGAGTCCGGGGGTGACTGTGTCCCTGCCCCGGGGCTGACCTGTCTCCTCTGACCCAGCACCCTGCCCTCCTGTGTGGCGCTGGCCCTGGGGCTGGGCATAGTTGCTCCCGGGGCAACTGTGTGCAGAGGTGTGGTCCCCCGGGAGCCGCAGCTGGCTGACCAGGCGGGAGGCTGCGAGTCAGCACTCACTGGTGCTCAGGCTGTGGTTGGGCAGTGCTGAGGGCAGTCCTGCAGCCCCGCTGACTCCGACTCTGTCCCCAGGGAGGCCCTGCTGGCTGAGATGGGCGTGGCCATGCGGGAGGATGGCGGTACCTTGGGTGTGTTCTCTCCCAAAAAGGTAGGAGCTGGGCCTGCGTCTGTGGTGCTGCCTTCACAGGGACAGGGACACTGCCCCTGGTGGCCATCAGAGGGGCTACCGGGAGGAGGGGCATGGAGCAGGGCTCTGGCCAGGCAGGGGGTGGCCTTCCTCCCTTGCAGCCAGCCTTCCCCAAGTAAGGGAGACTCAGCCACTGGTCCTTACAGTGGGCTGCCTGCTGGTTTTGGGACATCAGATGGGTCTTTTAGCTCTCTGAGGCGTGGACAGGTCCCCTGAGGCTGGGGAGGACTGGCAGGCCAGGCCCAGGCTGCGGATCTGAACTGTGTGGGTCTGGTCTCCTGGAGCTGTGACCCCCCATCGGCAAGGTGGGCTGGGCCTGGGTTGGGGCTGACTTCGCTCCCGGCTTTCTGGCTGGAGCAGGCCCGCGGACTGGTGAGGCCACTCCCTGGGTGGGCGCGTGCAGAGGTGCAGGTCCAAAGGCTCTTCCTGGGAGAGCTGTTCCTTTCCTGTCTCCTGTCGTCTCGGCCAGGCAGGGGAGGACATTTTCAGGAGGAGCTGGGCCTAGGGCTGTGGATGGCCTGGGGACTGGGAAGCGGTCAGGCGGGTGGGCAGCGCCAGCTCCTGCCCTCCCCAAGGGAGCTGACGCTCCTGTCCCCCCAGACGCCGCATCTCGTCAACCTGAATGAGGACCCACTGATGTCTGAGTGCCTTCTCTACTACATCAAGGACGGGATCACCAGGTGGGCAGGAAGCTTGTCCTCCAGGCCAGGCCCTGGGGTGGGAGTGGGGGAGGAGCCTTCTTCCTGCAACCCACTGTCTCACCGAGAGTCACTGAGCCTGCCCGCCAGGCGCTTCCGGAGCAAAGCCTTGCCTCTGGGCCACGGTCCCCTGAGTGTTTTCCAAGAGATCCCAGCCAGGCCCTGGGGGCGGTGCTGCTGACACTCTCCTCCCCCCAGGGTGGGCAGGGAGGACGCAGAGAGGCGGCAGGACATCGTCCTGAGCGGGCACTTCATCAAGGAGGAGCACTGTGTCTTCCGGAGTGACATGCGGGGCGGCAGCGAAGGTAGCCCAGCCACAGCCACACCCCTGGCCTGCCCCCTCCCCCAGCCAGCCGCTAGGCCTAGCTCTATGTGCTCTGGCCAGGACGTGAGAATGTGCGTGCATGCGTGCGTGCGTGCGTGTGTGTGAGAGTGCACGTGCGCGCATGCGCGTGTGTGACACTCGGGGGACGATAGTGCTTGGGGAGGGGTCCAGGGTTTCCTGCACCTCTGTGAAGCCTGTAGGGGTGAGAATAGGAAGCGTGTGTCCAGGAGCGGGTGGGGCGCCCTGGGCAGGACAGCAAGCCCTGAGGAGTGAGTGGGCCCTGGTTAGAGAGCTATTCTGGGACAACACCTTCCTGCTGGCTGTGGAGTGGCCATCTGTCCATCTTTCCACCTGCCACCTCCCTCCAGAAGGTGACACTGCCTTGCTCCCTGTGGACCTTGGCATTGCTGTGCTGTCACCATCCCATGGCCCTGAGCGCAGGAATTGCCTGGCAGGTGTCCAGCCAGCCTCTGGCCTGCAGATCTCTGACTCAGACCTACTGTCCACCTTGGCCACCTCAGAGTAGTGGCCCTCAGCAGCACTGGGACGGGTGTCTCCAGAATGCTCCTTTCTGTAGGCACCTTCACCACTCTTCTCACGTGTGTCTACCTGGAGTCCTGGATGGGGCTCTGGGCCCCAGCCCAGCCTAGCACAGCCTCTCTGCTCAACCTCTCAGGGTCATTTTCTTCCTATGTTACGTTGGGTGAGGCCCCCACCCTGACTCCTCCAAGGCCCAGACAGGGTCCTGCTAGTGGTCAGGCTGTGCGGCCAGCAGGAGTGGGGGAGCCCTGGAGGGACCCTGGGTCCAGGCAAGCTGAGCCCTGCAGTTACAACCCCTCACCGTCCCCCTCTGCTCTTCCCATAGCTGTGGTGACACTGGAGCCCTGCGAGGGCGCAGATACGTACGTCAACGGCAAAAAAGTGACCGAGCCCAGCATCCTGCGCTCAGGTACAGCAGGGTGTGCGGGGGCTGCAAGGTAGACGGGCATCAGGTGAGACTGCTGTACCTAGGCCCATTACCTCTTCTGCCTGTGAAGCCCCTTGGGGCATGGCCTGCTTCAGTGGCTCAGGGTGGCTGCCCCAGCAGGGTGGGGTCCGGGGAGCACAGGGAGCAGAAGCTGGGTCGAGCTGAGGCCTAGCAGACCAGTCCATGTGGCTTCATCCCCTGGCACCTCGGGGCCTGATGCACACCCCCAGGTGCACGGTGTGAAATCCCTGCTTAGGAAGGTCATGGAGGATGCATAGGAGGCTGTCCTGAGTGACCAGGAGTCCCTGTGCTGGGGTCTACGGGGACCAGGAGCAGTGGGGCACAGGCGGGGTGCAGCTGTTATCAATAGACCCAGAGACACAGAGCTGTGGGGCTAGGGGTGTCGCTATACAAATGCACACACAGAGAACCACAGGCTGTGAATATTGACACGGGTGCACAGATGCAGGATTATAGGCTGGCAAGTATTGGTCAGTAAACACACAGGTAAGATTATGTCAAGGAACTGGTTTACACGAATGTGAGGACTGCTGGTCAGGACTGAAGCCCTGGCAAGTGGCAGGCTGGAGTCTGTGGGCTGGAGAGGGCTCAGCTTGCAGGTTGAACGTTACCCACTGCTGTGAGCTGCTGCAGGTGTGGGCCACCTGGACAGCAGCCATGGCAAAGCTAGACCCGGTGGAATCATGAGGTGGTGTAGCCTGGCCGAGCTGGCAGGTAGAACTTCCTGCAGTATCAGCTGTGGCCAAGTGTGAGTTCTTGGCTGGGAACTGGCAGGACCCTCCCCCGCCCTGGGGGCAGGGAGGCAGGGAGGCAGGGAGGCAGGGAGGTGAAAACAGCTACCTGATTTCCAGCCTGTGGCCACCCCTGAAGGCCTTTGGCTTCTAGCAGGTGCTATCAGGATTGTCCTGCCTTTGCAGGACATTTTTGAGGAAGGACCTTGGAACCCCCTGAATCTGTGGGTCACCTTGTCGGCTCTGTGGGCCCCTTGGGCATAATCTGGGCTGAGCGACCTGGGCTTGGATTTTCCTCCTGGTGCCTGAGCCCAAGGACAGGGAGACCGGGGGCACGGACAGCCGTGTGTTGACCCCAGGCTGGGATGGGGGGCAGAGTGGAGGCTGAGCAAGCCAGAGGGTGGAGTGGGGTGGGGTGGGGGATGAAGCTGCCCAGGAAGCTGGGCAGGGTAGGGGGAGCGAACAGCAGCCGCTACCCTATGAGTCTGTCTGTCTCCAGGGTCATGCACACTGGTGGGCCCAAGGGGAGGGCAGGAGCTGGGTGGGAGGGCCAGACTTGAGACTGGCACCATGTAGTACCCCCACTGGATCTGGAGGGGAGCAATGGGGCAGGGTGGGCTCTGGCCAAGCAGTCCCTCAGAGCTGGTCGGAGGGCAGGTTCAGCCCTGGGTGCACAATGCCTGCACTGTGTACCTCTGGGGGAGGGAGGGTGGTGGAAGTGTGGGGTGCAGGGACAGACCTTGTTGGTCTGTGGGCACTGCTGCTGAGTTGGGGTGGTGAGGGGGTGGATTCAGGAGAGAATGTGCTGGCCCCAAGGTGGGAGTGCAGGGAGCTGGGGTGGAGGAAGCCCGTGCACCCCTGCACCCCTCTTCCCTCCTCCCAACCCTGGAGCTTCCTGGGACCCTCAGGACCCCAAACCTGGCCTTGCCTCCTTCCCAGGAAACCGCATTATCATGGGTAAGAGCCACGTGTTCCGGTTCAACCACCCGGAGCAGGCCCGGCAGGAGCGCGAGCGCACCCCCTGTGCAGAGACGCCTGCCGAGCCCGTGGACTGGGCCTTTGCACAGCGTGAGCTGCTGGAGAAGCAGGGCATCGACATGAAACAGGAGATGGAGCAGAGGTGAGCCCTGGGCTACCCGCCTACCATGTACCCAGCTCCCCCATCCCCCAGCCCCCGCGGCCTGGCCGTGCTCACCCGCTGTGGCCCACAGGCTCCAGGAGCTAGAGGACCAGTACCGCCGGGAACGTGAGGAGGCCACCTACCTGCTGGAGCAGCAGAGGCTGGTGAGGACACCTTGGTCAGCCTGGGCCCCGGCCGCTGGGACCCCGGCCGTACCTCGAGCTCTCCCCTGCCTGGCACCTGGCCGGCGGGTGAGGCCACCTGGATCTCCACGGCATATGTGACCCAGGCCTGGCCTCTCTGCAGGACTATGAGAGCAAGCTGGAGGCACTGCAGAAGCAGATGGAGTCCAGGTACTATCCGGAGGTGGCCGAGGAGGAAGAGGAGGAGCCGGAGGACGAAGGTAAAGGGCTTTTGGCTTTGGGAGCACTACAGGGAGGATTTGGAGGGCTGTGCTGCTGCAGGCTGCTGTGTATGCACACACACACACACACTCGTGTGCACACACACTCGCATGCACACATGCTGGCCTGCTGGGGGGCCGGGACTGTGGGGTGTTGGCCGGGGAGCACCCGTGAGACCCAGGACAAGTGTGCCGCGCTCTGCGGCCTCCCTCTGGGGTGGTAGGCAGAGGCTCTGTGAAAGGGAGGAGTGTCGTCCCCCCGTGCCCCGCCCCCTGCTGGCCTGGCGTGGTGTGGCCTGCAGTCGGCTGCACTGGGGCCTTCCCAGGGGGCAGCAGACCTTCTGCTCAGCAGATCTGTCCTGGTGCTTGCTCCCCCGCACTGACAGCAGTGGGTGTGACTCTGAGGCCCCACAAGAAACTCAGGCCTGGCGAGGGAGGGGTGTCCAGAGCCTCACGCTGGGTGGAACCCCGAGCCAGTGCTGCCACCTGGCCAGCCGTCCTCCTGCCAGCCTCGGCCTCTATGCTTATCTTCGAGCCCTGCTCAGTGGATGCAAGGTGGCCAACGTGGCCGTGAGGGTGGGTGTGGTGCCAGGGTTGTGGCTTCTCTCGGTGACCCGGTGGCCGCCCCCACAGTCCAGTGGACAGAGCGGGAGTGTGAGCTGGCGCTGTGGGCCTTCCGCAAATGGAAGTGGTACCAGTTCACATCGCTGCGGGACCTGCTGTGGGGCAATGCCATCTTCCTCAAGGAGGCCAATGCCATCAGTGTGGAGCTGAAGAAAAAGGTGAGGTCTGGGGGCATGTGGCTTCCTGCCAGAGACAGGGCCTCAGCCTGTCGGTGACAGGTGTGCTGCCTACAGCCAGGGCTTGGCACCGGGCCCCCACCTGACCTGGGAGGCCCTGGGACTGGCGGGGGTGGATGCCTGGCACTTTCTGCTCAGGGGAGGTGACCCAGCACCAGGCGGGGTACAGGTCCCCTCGCTGGCCAGTCAGAAGGCTTGGGGAGCTGTGAAGGGGCACATGGCCCAGGCCTCCAAGGGGTGGGAACAAAGCCTTTCCAAGGACCCAGCCCTGGCACCCACAGGGCTGATGAGGTCACCACCCATCACAGGTCCAGTTCCAGTTTGTCCTCCTCACGGACACCCTGTACTCCCCACTGCCACCGGATCTGCTGCCCCCAGAAGCCGCCAAAGAACGAGAGACACGCCCCTTCCCCCGCACCATCGTGGCCGTGGAGGTCCAGGACCAGAAGAATGGGGCCACCCACTACTGGACGCTGGAGAAGCTCAGGTGTGGCTGGTGGGCAGTGAGGTGGATGGACAAGGATGGCTGTGGGGCTTCTGGCACCGTGGACATGTGGGTGCCGCTGTTTCTGCCAATGGGGTTCCTGTCAATGAGAAGAAAAAAGTGGGCAGAGCCCATTGTTGCAGAATTGTACTCCCACCAGCAGGCGTGCAATGGTGGTGGACGCAGGAGCGCTTCGTGGTGTTTTCGTGTGGACAGAGGGGCCTGCTGAGAGTGCACTGCCGGGAGGGTTGGCGTAGGGCAGGGGGTGAGGCCTGGGGCTGGCTGGCATCCCCAGAGCAAGCTGCCACGGGCCTTTGTCACGGCAGAGGGCGCAGGAAGGGGCACCCACCCCATCCTGGCCTGTTCCTGTGCCCTGGGTGCTGCGGTGGCCAAAAGAGAACGGGGTTCACGAGCACCTGTAGGGAGCCCCACTGCTCCTGAGGTGTGAGAGCCCTTCCCACTGCCCACCCTGTGTGTGAGGACCCTGGGGCAGACTCCAGGAAGGACTCCGGAGCCCGGGGGCCAAAGCCAGGCTCTCCTCAGGGCCAGGGCTGGCCCAGCTGTCATCCTCCCTTGGCTGAGGGCAGAGGGCATGTTGGCTAGGCTTGGGGGTTTGGGCACCCTGCTGGTGTGCATGGCTGGGAACCAAGTGGGCTAGGCAGGCCCTTCCCCAGTCAGCAAGGCCCTGGAGATGTCAACAGCAGAGACTGGAAAGGCGAAAATACTGTTCACACACATACTCACACAGACCCTTTCTCGGCCAGTTCTCACACACTTTGGCAGATGTGCGTATCCATGCACACACACTCCTCCCAGTTTGGCTCCCCGAAGGACAGACAGCCACCTTGTGTCCAGCTTGTGAGGCCTTGCCAAACTCCGGCCCTCGGGGTGCGAGGATTGGACCCTTAGCAGCCTGGCCTTCCCTGGGGCTAAGATTGTAGGGGTGTTCTCACCGTCCACACCCATCCATGCTGCATGCTCAGGGCTCTGTGACGTGAGCGCTGTGTCTGGCTTCAGCTGGGTCCCGCCTCCTTCCTCCCTTCTTGTCCCAGCTGCAGTGGCAAAGCGCGTGACTGCCTGAGAGGGGGTCTCTGTTTGACTGGTCCGAGGGACTTGGAGGGGTTTCCGTCCAGCAGAGCCCCCGCCTGGGTGACTGGACAGAGCGGGCGGCATGGACACCGCCCAGAGGAGGAGGTGCGCAAGGTCGGGCTGTCCTGAGCCCCGCCACCCTTGTGCCCACAGGCAGCGCCTGGACCTGATGCGGGAGATGTACGACAGGGCCGCGGAGGTGCCCGCCAGCGTTGTTGAGGACTGTGACAACGTGGTGACCGGCGGGGACCCTTTCTACGACCGCTTTCCCTGGTTCCGACTGGTGGGCAGGTGGGCGCCTCCCCTTCCCTGGCAGAGAGAGAGGCAGTGGACTGTCTGACCGCCCTGGCCCCGAGCTGGGGGCGGCCCCAGGTGGCACCGGTCTTCCCCTCACTCCTCACCACACACCCACAGGCCCCTTCTCTTCCGGGGGCCTCGGGGGGTCTTGTCACTGCCACCCACACCCCTCGTGGGGCCGTATGTCCACGTGTGTGAATGTGTGGGGCTGTTCCAGGTCTCTGATGGCCTCGGGGTGGGAATGTGGAGACAGCCAGTCACCGAGCCTCAGAGGCTGTAGAGACCACCACCTAGTTCCCTGGGCTCTGGTCCGAGGTCTGTGCCAGCCCCAAGCCCACATGACTGTGGTGTTCTCAGACTTCAACGTGGCTAGGCTCTCGGGGCCCTCACACAGCCGTGGCTATGCCTGGCCAGGGCCACTGTTCTCAGTCACACTGGTGATTTCTAGAACCTTCTAGAACCTTCCAGCTGACCACATGGGTGTTTTTATTTTTTGCCAAACTTGGGGACAGAGCACTTTTTTGGTTCTCTGGTCTTTTAAAGCCGCATTCTTGACAGTGTGTGTCTGGTTTTGGTTGGAAAGAAGCCCCATCCCGCCCCGCCCCGCCCGCCCCGTCCCCCTGCGAGTAGCTGGTGTTAACTTCTCTCTGTCTTGTCGTACTAACCTCAGTTCAGTCATCTCTGGCTGCAACAGCTACCCTCTTCTCAACACATGCATGAGCGAGCGCATGGCTGCTCTCACCCCCTCCCCCACCTTCTCGAGCCCCGACTCCGACGCCACCGAGCCTGCCGAGGAGCAGAGCGTGGGGGAGGAGGAGGAGGAGGAGGAGGAGGAGGAGGAGGAGGAGGACCTGGAGGACGACGTCTTTCCGGAGCGCGCGCTGTGCAACGGCCGGGACCCGTTTTACGACCGGTCCCCCCTGTTCAGTGTAGTAGGAAGGTTGGTGAGGTCGAGGAGCGCATGCTGGGAAGGAACCAGCTCTTTTGCACGGGAGCACTGCTGTGGGCACCGTGGGCATCAGGGTGAGACTCTGGGCCCTCCTGGCCAGGCAGGCTGAGGGCCGGCCTCTCGCCAAAGCTGGGGAGCCTCTGAGGCTCCCCGAGTCCCCACCGCAGGGCAGAGCTGGTCCAGGTGCAGAGGGAGACACCCGGGGGACCACACAGCTGGGGAATGTTTCTAGGCAGGTGGGGCTGTTGCTGTGGAACAGAGGCCACGGGAACCCGAGCAGCAGCTGTGGTTTAGACCTGACACTGCGTCCCTGTGCAGGGCTCCGGGCCATCTGAGAGCGAGGCCCCGAGCTTGTGCCCCGTCCGTCCCTTGTCCTGGGGACTAGCTTCGTCTTCACTGTCCACAGCTGAGGTGTTTGTGTGTACTCAGTGCCCCTCTACTCTGGGGACAGGAGCAGGCTTGGGCCTCTGAGCTGCCTGTCCCTGAAGGGGAGGCTGGCCGTCCCAACCTCCCTGGTCACTGTGGCAAGAGACACGGCAGGGGCCCAAGTGGCACGTAGCTTGTGCCCCTCTCAGAGCAGAGCTGGTTAGCACGTCCACCAAGCAGCTGAGAAAGGCCAGGGTCAGGGGGTGAAACAGGCTACAGGAGGCCTAGACCTGGGGGTGTTGTCCTGCAGCAGATTCGGCAAATGCAGCCACCACAGCCACTGTTCCTGGCTTTATTACCCCAGAAGGGAGGACAAGGCAGGGAGAGCTCTGGCCACGGAAGGTAGCAGTATGCGAAGAGGAGTGAGTTTTAACTCTTGCAGCTCTCTGTGTAGTTCAAGATGGCTCCCGTGGGCCAGGCAATGGAAGCTTCCAGAAGTCTTGACCTGGGGCACCAGCACTGAAGCTGGATCCTGAGAGTGGCCCTGTAGAGCACGGGGTTCTGTGGCAGGTGGCAGTTCCTGCAGCACATCCAGGACCTGCGGTGATTAGCTTCCCTGGCTGGCGTCAGGCGGGGTTAGGTGTCAGGAGCCGGCCTGCCAGACAGAAGTGAGCAGCGTCCCTCAGAGATGCCCCAGGTCTGGACTTCCGCTTTGTAGGGCCCAGGCAGGAGGCACAGACCCAGGCCTGCTCCCAGAGCTTCATCACCATGCCCCGGCTGTAGGGTCAGGTCTCCTACCTGCGTGGCCGGGAGAGGTTCCGGGTGTCAGGTGGGCGAGGGGTCAGGACACACGGGCGGGTGAGAACAGCACAGGAACTGGGGTGTGGGCTCTGCAGTCTCACCTGGGAAGAGCTGGGTCCTTCCAATGTTTTTCTCCCTCTTGTGGATTTGAGATTTCACGAAACTCCCAAACTGACCAAAAGTCACCCGTAAGAGGCCCGCCCATCTCGGGGGTGGCCTGTGAGGGGCTCCATCGGGCACCACCCTGATCTTTTTGGTTTGGCAAGAATTGGCTTCTCCCGCGCAGCAGCTGTGCAGGCCCAGCCTGGGAAGGACCTCCGTTGGTTTTCGCGTACCCTTCTGGTAGCTGCTGGCTCTCTCCAAAGCTTCAGCGAAATTGGGGTGCCCACTCTTGCCCCCTGGAAAGGCTCCCTGGGTCCCAGCATGCGTCTTTGCTCCTCACCAATCTGTGGTTAGCGCTGCCTCCTCCCTCCTGCCCGCCGTGCTCGCCGCTCTGTCCGCTCTGCCCTCCTGTGCTCTCCGGCATTTCAGTCTGCTTCAAGGGCCCTCGGCCTCGGGGTGCCCGCTGACAGGGAGGCCGGGCCGGGTGTCTGCCACCCAGGCTGAGGAGTGGGCCTGGGCCCCACCTGGGTTAGATGGGGGCACGGGCTCTGCAGACAGCATGAGAGCTGAGTGCCTGGGGCGAGTGTCCCAAGGAGGAGTCAGCCCCGGAGCAGTGTCCAGGTCTGGTGAACAAGTGTGGGCCCAGCAGGAGGTTACGCCATGCCCGCCCTGCCTCTTGGGCTTCCTCAGCCCCGTCAGGCCTCTGGGCCTGGACCACTCAGCCTCTTGGACAGCATGGCTACAGATGGTGTCTCTGGGGTCCAGAGAGCAGCTGGGTGTGTGTGTGGGTGTTGCGTGGCCGGGCTGTGTTGTGGCCCTTGCCGTGGCTGGTATGATGCCAGGTTGTCTGTGGTACCTGGAGGGCCATCCCCACGGGGGCCTGCAGCCTGCACCCCCTGGCTCCGTTGCCTTGTCTACAGGTGTGTTAATCAGGTGGGCTGTGAATGGGAGGCAGAAGGGCTCTTCTCGGCTTGGTCTGCAGCCTCCTCGAGGCCAGTGCTGCCCTGGACTGGGGGCCTGGGCTGCTGGGGGCCCTGTTGGCTGAGAGACCACTGCTGCCACTCAGTGGGCGGAGACCGGGGCTGCAGCAAGGAACGGAGCCAGGGAGCTCCTGCACCTTCTCCAGCACCTGGCAGCAGGTGGAGCCAGCCCTGCATCCGGGCGCCCTGAGACCCACGAAGGCCGTGAGAATGTGCTGCTCGGCCTGGAGCGGAGTGAAGAGGTTCAGAGAATCAGGGAGGCTTTGCTGAAGCCCCTAGGGACTGTTTCATTGTAGAACCCCAACCTCCAGCCAAGGGGCCCCCAGAATCCCCACCCCATGCGTCCCGCCTCTGGGCTCAGCCTGTGTCTGACGTGGCGGCTTGAGGCTGGCTGTGGCACTGTGGTGTCTGGATTCTTTCTCCTCAGCCGGGAGGAAGTTCTGCAAGGCTGAGGCAAGATGATCTGCTTAGTTACCTGGCTGTGTTAACGGAGCAAAGAGGAACAGGTTGAGAGCTCTCAGAAGGAACCTGCAGGCTATGGCCAGCCCTGCCTGGTCCTGCTCCTGTGCCTGTTTCCTCACCTGTGAAATGGGCCCAGATGGCGTGCTGTGTCAGAGCAGACTTGCCACCGCACCTCTCAGGAAGAGGCCTCCCAGGCGTCCTGTCCCTGCTTCCCCGTGGTGTGTGGCCCCAGGGAGCCTGACACGATTGCTGGGCTGCTTCCTCAGGTCTCATCTTGGGGCTGCTTGTTGTCCCACCAGGGGCTTTCAGGAGCACCTGCCCTGGGGTGGTAGTAGGTTTCCAGCACTGTTTGTCAGCAGCCAGGGTGGGCTGCCCACTGCAGCACTGCCAGGCAAGGCCCTGACTCAGTTTACCTTTCTGCAGTGCTTTAGACCCTGGGCCCAGCCCTTTGTGGGGGTCGAAGGAGAAGGTTAGGTTCTGGGCAGTTGTGGGACCAGTGGGTGTCCCAGGTGGGAGCCCTTCCCATCCTGGGGGCCCAAGGGTCACCTCTGTGGCACCCTGAGGGGTGCATCTGGATAGCCCTAGTGCCTGGGTTGTGCTGGCCCCTGCAGGCCCCCCTGGAGGGGGGTGGCCTAGTGCCTAGCCCTGCTGCTGGTCTGACAGCTGCACACCCCTCCCAGCACGGAGCTCACTCAGCCAATGGCAGTGCTCCCCAAGGTCCTCCTGGGGCTCCCTGTACCCTCTACTACCAGCTCCCTGCAGGCTCCTGAATAGGGGGTGGGGCCAGCACTTCCCTGGGGTGTCCTGAGGTCAGTGGGCTTCCTTTGCTCCAGGAGGGCAGCCCAGGGGCTCCCGGGCCCCCTTGAAGGCAGCCACACCCCTGCCCCATCTGAGGCCAGCTTCACAAGATCACCAAGAGCGCTGTGATGGGGCCCTGGGGTAGGGGGCGGGGCACGCAGAAAGCAGGAAACCCTTGAGTTCAGCACACCGGGTGGCTGGAAAGAGGGGGCCAAGAGATTCGAGAGGCAGCAAGGCTGTTGTCACTGGGCAGACAGGTGGCTCCGACCCCCAGGGGCCCTTGGCTCCCCAGCCTTGTGGGCGTGGTGCTCCCATGGTGAGCTTGAGCCTCGGAGCACGTGGGCTTCTGGCTGGTGTCCTCAGACCCTTCTGGGGACCGTGAGGCCAGCAGCCGGGCTGTGCCGGCACTGAGTGGGAAGAGGAGTGGGTGGGGTGTGGCGCTGCGTGCTGCCGCCCTGAGCCCATCCCTGTGGAGCAGAGTGCTGGTCAGGAACAGGCACAGCAGGGGTGTCTGCTGTCCGGGCTGAGCGGGCACGGTGTTCGTCCTGCCCCGCCTCCCCCTTTGCCCATGTTCCCCTGCCCAGTGTCCACCTGGCAGCAGGCTGTGTCCTCCCTGCCTCCCTCTCTGTCCCCACACCTGGGTGAGACCCTCTGTCCTACTCTCCTCTCCACACCTCCTGTGTTCCGGTCCTCCGTGTCCCACCCATGTTGTGTCCCCTTGTAGGAACTGCCTGTGCCTCTGGCTGCCGGTCACTACCTGGAGAGGAGGGCAGGTGTCCATGGCCGGGTCGCTGAGCGGCTGGTCCTCACCACAGCATAGCTCCCCGTGCGGCCGTCCTTACCCTAGGGGGCGAGCACCCAGCAGCCCCCTGTCGCGGTCCGCACGCTGGCCGGCACAGCATCTCGGGGCCCTCTATTGCCCTGCCCATGAGACCCCCATGTTGGGCACCTGGGGGGTGCAGCAGCCGCCCCGTGCACAGGGCCCCTGCCTAGGCTGGTCCTGGCACCAGCCGCAAGATGGGAGGCTCTTGGTGTCCTGGGTTGTGGGTAGGGCTGGTGGGCAGTGTGACAGGCCTGGGGGTCCCGGCCTGGGCGCCCCCGACTGGGCTGTGGAGGTGGAGCTGAGTTGGGAAATGAGCATCAGTATGGCGGAGGTGGCAGCTAAGGGCCACCCCAGCCAGGGCCTCGTCCTTGAAGCAGGCTGAAACCCCGCAGCTACCCTCTGCCCAGCCACCACGCTGGGCTTTGCTGGGCAGCGCCCTCTGCCCCCTTGCCCCATGCCCACCTTCTCTGTGCCTCCGCCTCCTCCTGTCTCTGCGCCCCGAAGGCCCGGGACCCTCTCCCCGCCTGCCCCGCCTGGCTGTCCGTGCTTCGCCCGCTCTGCTCCGCAGCATCGTGTTGTGTTGTGACCGGCGTGCTGTCCCTGGTGCTGTCACTGCTGTCCGGGCCCCGGCGCCGTGACCGACCTCTGCTCCCCAGGGCCTTCGTGTACCTGAGCAACCTGCTGTACCCCGTGCCCCTGGTGCACCGCGTGGCCATCGTGAGTGAGAAGGGCGAGGTGAAGGGCTTCCTGCGTGTGGCTGTGCAGGCCATCTCAGGTGTGTGGGGCACGGCAGGGTGGGCGGCAGCCAGGACGATGGACTCCTGGGTCAGTGCAGGGCTGCCCCCTACCCCCATCTCCTTGGGCTGGCCTGACAGGGTGTCCTCTGTGCCTGCCCTTGGCGCTGGCCTCCTGAGCTCTCCTGGGTTGGCCAGGGCCACCTCGGACCACAGGCCATGCCCAGGGCAGGCTGTGCCCACTTGGCTCAGAGGTGATGGGTAGCGTGCCCTGCTCTGTGGAGAAGACTGCCACCCATGGGGTCTCACTGTTTCCTCCAAAGACCTGGCTGCCTGCACGTTGGAGAGAGTGTGCGGCAGGCAGACAGACAGACGGGAGCAAGGAAGTGTGGGCTGGGCTGGGGGGAACTGAGGGGCCAGCACCCCCATATGTCACGGCCCCCAGTTCTCATGATGTTTCTGCTGCCCCCCACGCCTGTCCCCTGATATCCTGGCCACTTCTCGAGGAGACACGGTACTCCGTTGGTATAGTTAACACTTGGCCCTGTCACCAAACTCCCAGCAGGCGTAATTCCCAGCTTTTACATCTCACCCGAGATGCCCCTATGCTGCTGTGTAAGGGAACTGCAGTCACAGAGACCCCAAGACCCCGGCTGAGGAGGGGGCTCTGGCACCTGGAAAGGCCCTGGCACTGGCCCCACTCCCACGGCCTCCGCTGCAATGCAGGGTGTTTGCCTACCCTCCCCCAGGGCTGCTCCCCACCACCAGGCCCTGTGCCCACCGGCCCCATCTGCACCCTTACTCCTCCAGCAGAGCAGAGCCACCCTGGCTACACCTGCTTTCGGCTCCCTCTGAAAGCTGTGGTCCTGCTCTGCCCTCAGGGAGGGGCCTTTGGGGTCCTTGTGGAGCCCCAGCTCTGCCTCAGAGGTCACCTCCCAGTGCCATGTGGAATCAGGGCTCCCCCACGTCAGATGAGGGTCGCTTGTTAGGGTGCCTAGTGTTCTGCGCCCAGGGGTGTGAGCAGCCACAGCCCGCCTGTCCCCGGGTTGTGTTTAGGAATCCAGGCAGGGACAGGAGCTGGGCGCAGGCCCTGTGTGCGGATCCCGGAAGACCCTATCTGGGGTGATGCCGCACTTCCCGTCTGAGGCTTCAGGGAGAGGGCCGTAGGAGAGGTGTGACCCCTGCACTGCCCTGTGGACCTGGGCGTGAGCCCCCTTAGGGCAGGCTTGGCCAGCACTGTGGGGGCAGAGCAGAGCACTGGCCGTGGGCAGCAGGGTGGAGAGGACAGCGTGATTCCCGCTGAGGCCTGTGCCAGGCTGAGCGACAGGGCCTCTGGTGCAGTGGTACCAGGTCAGGGGTCTGTGGGGAGGAGGGCAGGGCCTGGGCTTTGTCCTGGGCAGATCACAAACCACTGAGCACTGGGGGAAGGGGGTCTGTGCCCCGACCCGGGGACCACTCAGCCTGGCCATGCCCGTCCCGGGCCAAGCTGGGTCTGACCACCTGCTCACCTCCTGCAGCTGACGAGGAAGCCCCCGATTATGGCTCTGGTGTCCGCCAGTCAGGAACTGCTAAGATCTCTTTCGACGACCAGCATTTTGAAAAGGTACTGTATGCAGCTGGCTGCACGTCGTGGGCCATGACTCAGTGCCCAGGCCTCAGGTGGCTGCCCCTGGCATGGTGTGTGAGGGTCCTGCCCCATGGGCCAGAGTCCCTTGGGTCCTTCCCGGGGCCTCTGTGTAAAGCACATGACTCCTCTTCCCCAGTTGGTCATGGCCTGCTGGCTCCATCTGTCCCCAGGCTGCTCTGGATCTCCCAGTAGGGCTCTAGGTGGGCGGGGCATGTTCCCAGCGGCATGGCCTCCCTGGGGCTCAGGCTGAGCTTTGGTGCCCCAGCCGGGCAGCTCCCTCTCTCCCCACTCTCCCTGACTGTGTGCCCCCGCAGTTCCAGTCCGAGTCCTGCCCCGTGGTGGGGATGTCCCGCTCGGGAACCTCCCAGGAGGAGCTGCGCATTGTGGAGGGCCAGGGCCAGGGCGCAGACACAGGGCCCTCAGCTGATGAGGTCAACAACAACACCTGCTCTGGTAGGTGCCCCTGGCTGCCCAGTGCCCGGATGCGCTCACCCCACCCACCCGTGTTGGTGATGGTGTGTCCCTGAGACCATTACTCTGCCCACTCCCAGCAGCAGTGCCCCCGGATGGCCTCCTCTTGGACAGCCCCGAGAAAGCCACCCTGGAGGGGCCCCTGGATGCCGCCCTAGACCACCTCCGCCTGGGCAGCACCTTCACCTTCCGCGTGACCGTCCTGCAGGCGTCCAGCATCTCTGCCGAATATGCCGACATCTTCTGCCAGTTCAAGTGAGCCCCACTCGAGCTGTCGTAGCCCCGCTGGGCATCAGCCAGGCTGGGGCAGGGTGGGGCGCAGTGCCCCAAGTCCTGCCCTAATTCCCCCCCCTCCTGCAGCTTCATCCATCGGCACGACGAGGCCTTCTCCACAGAGCCCCTGAAGAACACGGGCAGGGGCCCTCCACTTGGCTTCTACCACGTCCAGAACGTACGTCCTGGGGCCCTGTCCCTCCTAGGCCTGCTCTGAGATGAGCACTGCTCCCCGCTGCTTCGCTAAGCCAGTCCTTTGCCCAGCACTGCCCAGCACCAGGATGCAGGTCCTCTGGGGCTGTGTGGGCTACAGCTGGGTGGCAGGTGCCCCTGACAGGTTTTACGTGGGGTACAGAAGCACCCCACAGTGGGCCTCGGCAGACGCAGGCACAGGGTACCCAGAGAGGTCCTGGCTGAAACCTCTGCAGAGTTCAGGGTGCCCAGCGAAGACAGCTGGTCTGGGTGTTGGGGATCCGGAGGCCAGGCACACAGAAGGTGGCAGGAGTGCTGGGGACAGTCCTGAGAGGCTGGGGCAGCTCTGGGCATGAGCGTATAGTGAGCTGTGCTTCTGGGGCCGCACAGGCAGGGCTGGTGGCTGCGAGGCCAGCTAGCTCCACAAGGCTTTAGGGGATTTGGATGAGGGTGGCCGCCAGGCAGAGGGAACGGAAGTGTCACACTTGGCAGCAGTGATGCTGGCCAAGGGATGTGAGTGCGACCGGACAGAGGGCACAGAGGCTGGCACCGACCCGGTTGGCACCTGGGTCTGCAGTGGTCGGGGTGGGGGTGCTGGACCTTTTAAGGCCTGTGTCCTGGGCCCATGGACGGCTGCCTTCTCCGTCTGTCCACACTGCCTCTCCCTGGAGCCTGTGTCCCAGTGTTTCCTCTGTGAGGACACCGTCTTGGGGTCACATCTGTCACCCCCATCTCGAAAGGAGGCATGTTCTTAGACCTGCGGGTTAGGACTTCAACATAGGAATTTCAGGGACAGAAGTCACCCTCACCTGGCACTGCAGACACACTGTCTGGTCTCTGTGTCGCCCCCTCTGCCTGCCGGGCCTGGCCTGGCTCTTGTCTTAGAAGCAGAGGCTGAGCTGACTGGGTTTGGCAAGGGCTGTTGTCCAGGTTCCCATGCAGTCCCCTTGGAGACCAAGCCTTTTCTCGTGGGGCCGCCCCTCCCCCGGCCGTGCTGTGGTCGTGCCCTCCCACCTGCCTCCTCACCACCAGATTGCGGTGGAGGTGACCAAGTCCTTCATCGAGTACATCAAGAGCCAGCCCATTGTGTTCGAGGTCTTTGGCCACTACCAGCAGCACCCTTTCCCGCCCCTCTGCAAGGACGTGCTCAGGTCAGCGCGGGTCACCCCTTGCCCCCGACTCCCTGTGTTTGGGCTGAGCTGAGGGAGCTTCAGACCAGCCAGCCCCTCCTGGGCACCGAGCTGGGCAGGCCTGGGGCCCCAGCCTCCTTGGGAGCACCGTCTCCCCTCAGTAGGACCCATAGCTGAGGGACACCAGGGTGTTGGGCAGAGAAGACAGTGACTGGCATTCACGGAGGCACTGGGTCCCGGGAATCCTCACCACTTGGAGAGTGCAGGAGCCACGGGGCTGGCAGCCACGGCCTGGGGCCTCCAGGATGGAGTCTGGGGTCCTGAGGGCCCCTTTTCCCACCTAGTTGGGCCAGGGCCTGAGGTTGGGGTCTTTCATGGGCCTCGGGAGCAGGGAGGCAGGGGCGGGCATGGGGTCAGCAGCTGCCCTGCCCCGGCTGCCTGCACCGACCAGGCCCCCCTCACTCTAACCGCCTCCTTCACAGCCCCCTGAGGCCTTCCCGCCGCCACTTCCCGCGTGTCATGCCGCTGTCCAAGCCAGGTAGGCGGGGCTCCCACATGCAGGTGCCGTTGGGCAGGGTTCTGCCGGAAGACGGGGTCTCAGGCTGAGGGTGGCATGGGGGTGCCCCTGGCTCCCCAGGCATGGGGACACAGCCAGGCCCATGGGCCCCATGGCTCACGCTGTGTCATCCAGCCTCCTGCTCTTTGCAGTTTGGATGCAGTCAGGTGGTGCAGTGGTTGCTGAGCTAGGGCTCAGTGGGGTTGTAGAGGGGCTAGTGGGCAGAGGTCGGCAAGGGGCACCCAAGACCAAGGCTTTTGTGCAGGGCTGCGGGGCTGAGGACGGGCTGGGGGAGGTGTGCCTGGATGGGGGCAGTAGGCTGTGGCGGAAGGGCAGGTAGGCGATGGGCTGGGCAGCAGGGCAGGCAGGGGGGTCCCAGGCAGGGTGGGACTCTGGGCAGGTGTCTGCCTCCCTGCTGGTGCTGGTGTCACAAGCCACGCCCTCCTTGAGGGTTTGTGTTCAGGTGCATGGGCTCCTGACCTTCGGCATGGGGAAACTGAGGTCACACCTGTCCAAGCCTGGTGCTGGTTACCTGGCTGGACACGCCAGGGATGGGTGTGCCCTGTGCGGGTGCCTTGGGCGGGGGTCACGCCCTCACACGAAGCCTGTGGTGGGTGTGCCTCATGGAGCGATGTCCCTCTCCTGTCCCTTCAGTGCCCGCCACTAAGCTCAGCACGCTGACGCGGCCCTGCCCTGGGCCCTGCCACTGCAAGTACGACCTGCTGGTCTACTTCGAGATCTGCGAGCTGGAGGCCAACGGCGAGTGAGTGCACGTCCACACTGCCTGGGGTGGGGACAGGAGGTGTACCCGGGGAGTCGGGGAGGAGAGGGCTGAGCACTGAGCCTGTCCGCAGGTCTGTGTCAGCCCCTCAGTGTGGTCCGGCTTCTAGGGAACAAGCAAGCTGACCCCTGCCTGAAGGGTACGGGCTGTGGTCCCTGGTGGTGCTGAGCACTGTCCTCAGGCTGGGGTCAGGTGGCCTGGATCGAGGAGTATGATCAAGCACGCCGACTGACCCCCCCAGAGGAGGTGGGAGGTCTCTGAGCTCCTCCCTGGGCCCCTGGGCACTGCCCACCCAACCCTGGTGGAGTGGGTCCAGGAGGATTGGGAGGCCCAGCAGGTGGGAGCCCTGGGGCTGGAGGACAGAAGCTCCACCAGCCACGGGTCCCAGGTCCACAGGGAGAGAGGAAGCGGAACCCTGGGGGCTGTGGCAAAGACCCAGCCTGGAGGCCCGGCCGGCCCACTCTGACACCCTCCTAGCGTGGCGGCAGGCGAGGGTACGAGGGTCTGGGTGGCCCAGTGTGGGTTCCTGCACCCAGCTGCTGACGCTGTCCCCGGCCCCCACAATGGGACCAGGGCCGTGCATGGCGCCCAAGGAAGAGAGCGCGTCTCACCCTCACCTCTCCTGCAGTTACATTCCAGCCGTGGTGGACCACCGCGGGGGCATGCCCTGCATGGGGACCTTCCTCCTGCACCAGGTGCGCAGCCGCCCCAACGCCCCGCCGCCCCCACCCCGCCCCACCTGTGGCCAGGCCCCAACCTGTCTCCTTGCACCTGGCAGGGCATCCAGAGACGGATAACCGTGACGCTGCTGCACGAGACGGGCAGCCACATCCGCTGGAAGGAAGTGCGGGAGCTGGTCGTGGGTGAGTGGGCAGGGTGGGGCGGGGGAGGGGCATGGCCAGTCTGCAGCTGTGCCCCGCCCCGTGTTCCCTACTGCGTCACACAACCTCTGTGCGTCTCAGCTCCCTGAGAGGGGAGCCCCGGGCAGGTGGTGGCTTCCAATTTCCGTTTCACGTGCATTAGTTTCCAAGGCTGTCCTAGCAGGGTGCCACAAACTGGTGGGCTTTGAAAAGCAGAAATCAGCCAGACATGGTGGTGCATGCTTGTAACCCCAGCACTCGGGAAGCTGAGGCGGGAGGATTGCTTCGAGTTCAAGGCCAGCCCAGGCTACAGAGTGAGACTTTGTCACAAACAAACAGGAGTAGCAGAGATCGGTGTCATAGCTCTGGAGGTTGGGGCAGAGTCAGGAGGCGCTCTCTTTGACACCTAGCCTAGGGATACCAGCGCAGGGTGTTCTAGGCTGGGACGTACCACCCACCTTGGTGTCTGTCAGTTCTTATCTGAGCCCCTCTTCACATGCTGTCCTCGGAGGCCACAGCCTTACGTGCTGAGGCCGCCGCACCTAGGGTGGCCACAGCCTGACTAACCATACTTGCAGTGCTGTTAGCGCATGAGGTCAGGGCTCCAGCCTGTGTTCTTGAGGGGAAGTACAGTTCAACTCATAAGCATCGCTATGTGGTGTTTTCCTCCATGGCTTCCCATCTAAACTGTGGTCTACCAGATGTTTCCTTCGCTGAGCCAGGAGGATGTGTCCTTCACCCCGTGTGTGGGTGCCCTGAAGTGGATGCTGGCATGCTGGTCCCACTGGGCACGGCAGGGCCGGCAGGGGTCTATACAGACAGGCTGCATCCTCTGGCCCTCGGCTGCCTTCTTTGCCTCCTGCTTTCTGCCCCTGAAAGTGCCAACACTGCTGTCTGGTTAGAAGGTGGGGGCGTAGAGGGGTTGGGGAGACCCTGCCATGAGCACCCAGCCCCATCCAGGACAGGGCTTCGTTAGGGGCTTCCCCACTGACAGGCTGGGTGCAGAGTGACATTGCTTTCTGGGAGGTAATGTCTCACTTCTGCTCCCCTGGGGTCCCCGAGATCACTGTTTACAGCTTCCCCTGAGCCTAGCATCCTGCCCAAATGGCCATGGGGCTTGGAGGTCCTGTGAGGTGGGTGGTCCTGTGGGAAGAGGAAAAGGACTGGAGACCCGGGCAGCCCTGAGGTCTCAGTAGAGGGGCCCTCTGGGGCCGGGCAGTGATGGGCAGTAAGGAGCCCTGCCATCGAGACTGGGGTGCCTATCTGGGCTGAGGCCTGGTCCCCAGGGCTGAGGTCCTGCTCAAGGAGGGCTCCCTGCACTCGGCCTCCCTGCCATGGAGAAGGAGCCCATCTCAGGGCCCACCTGCCTCCCCCGGGACCTGAGTGCTCAGGGCTGTGCACAGAGTTCTGGCCATGCCCTCGGCCTGGGCAGGAGAGCCAGAAGGCCCAGTCCAGCTCACTCACTGCTCAGCAAAGGAAATATGTGTGATCCAGCTGCTTCTTTGAATGAGCAGAATGTCACTCCCAGGATGACGGCCTTAGACGGAGCTGCCTGTCTTGCATCCAGGCAGGCAGACGCTGCCAAGTGCTGGCATCTCAGAGGCTGTGTGGGAAATGTCAGATGACGACACAGACGAGGTTTTTTGTCTCTGTTACTATTATTGTTAAGCATAGAAAGGAGTGGGGACATAGTCACCTTCCTGCCTTGCCGAGGATGTTGGCCAGCCAGGAAGGCCTGTGCTTTCAAGGCTGAGGGGTTGGGATCTATACGAATACAGGTGCAGGACAGAGGCAGAGGAGTGGCTGCCCACTCCGCCCTGGGTCCCAGAACTGGCCAGGCCTCCCTGTCCACCCGATGCCTTTTGCCCCTTGGTCTGCAGCACCTTGGGGGCTGAGTGCCTCACCTCTGCCTGGCCAGAGGCTGCTGGGCCCCACGTCCGACCGCCCCCCCACGTGACACATGGCTGTTCCCTTTCCCTTAGGTCGCATCCGAAACACTCCCGAAACTGACGAGTCCCTGATTGACCCCAACATCTTGTCTCTCAACATCCTGTCCTCTGGCTACATCCACCCAGCCCAGGATGACCGGTGAGTCTTGCTATTCCTGGCTGCCCCCGCTCACCGGCCACACGGGACGCGCAGCCCAAGAACCTCCTCCCCCACACGGCCAGTGAGTAGAGGCCGGTGGCCCCAGCCTCTCGCTCCCTTGACTGTGCGTCCTTGTCACTAGTTCACACGCTCACCTTGCTGTGACTGGCAGGGGCCAGCATGGGCTTGAAGTAGGAGCTAGGCTGGCCCTCCGGGTCCTGGGCTGGTAGGGGGTGGCCTGCGGCTGTGGGTGGACAAGTGGCTGCCAGGGGTGTGCCGGCCTCTGCTGGGCCTGTGGTCTCCTGGGACAGGCTGTCGGGTGGGTCCAGGGCTGGGGCTCTAGAGGAAGTTGAGGGGCTCACAGAGCCCCGGGTCCAGCAGCTCGGGGTGAATAGGGGGTAACCACAGGGTCCTGCCTGTCCCACGCCTATGTCACATGTGCCTGCCTGGCTCCTGACCAAGGTCATCTCTGCCTAGCAGTCTCTTCTCGTGGCATCCAGGCAGTGCAGGGGCTGCTCAAGCCCATGGGGTCTGGCAGGACAGGTGGGGTGGGTGGGGATACATCTGAGGCTGGTGGAGGAGAGGGGTGACTGTGAGCTGCTTCCCAGGCACGATCTCCAGCCTGGCCGCTCCCTGAGGGCTGGATCTAACCCAAGAGCTGCCCCCTGGAGCTTGGGTACGGGGCTGTGTTTGTAGGAAAACATCTGTGAAGGCCAGGTGTGCTGGGGGGCTGCTCCCCTGGACAGAGGCTCTGTTGGAGACAGCTTCTGTTCTTCTAACTCCTGGGGCCCAGTAGAGCTAAGTTTCCTCCTAGACACCAGGTGGGGTTAGTGGAGGGGACAGCAGGCCGGGGCCGGGGGTCCCCAAAGGAGAAGCCTGTGCTCTTGCAGGGGGTGCTGGGTGTTCTGTTGTGGAGGTGGCCCTGGCCAGAAAGGTTGGAGGTCACTGGGATGAGTGGAGCCTGAGCTTCCTCTGGCTTTGCAGCTCTGCTGCCGTAGATGCCCCTGGCAGGGTATGGAGGAGGCCTGGTACCCCTGGTGCGACTGTGCTGGGCCTGTCAGATACTGAGCAATGCTCTGGGGCCCGGGAGGTGACCTTGTTACCCTGACCTCTGACCCCTCCTTCAGCAGCAGCTCCTGGGTTCCTAGATTAGGAGGCGGGGAGGTATGGGGTGTTTTCGGGCCGTCCCCCTACTGTCTCCTTGCATGAAGGGCCAGCTCTGGGGTCATTGCATCCTCCTCTGATCAGCCTGGCTTGTTTGGGGGCCTTGACCACGGCTGAGCCCGGATGACGTAGGAGGTGGCAGTGCAGGCTGGACCTCAGGCCAACTGGGCTTTTTCTAAGCAGGCTCTCCCTGTTCCTAGAGCTGAAGAGCCCACCCCTGAAGGGCTCCATCCTACTCCCAGGGGCTGGGAGCCACACGGGATCCTGGACAGGGAGGCACAGCCTTGCTTGGCCCCTGCCCGTGCTAGTGCAGCTTCCCTGCCCTCCTGCCCCAGGAAGTCTCAGGGACTTTCCTCAGAGATGGCCACAAGCAGGTCCCAGCCTGTGGTTCCTCCTGTGGGGCTACACAGGCATGGCTCCCTGCCCTGGACGAGGGTGACATCCCAGAACCCACCGTGGCTGGGCTGCTCCACGGCTGCTCCTTTCTGGGCTCGGGAGACCCTACTGGCTCCAGCCAGGGGCCTCGGCTGCCCACATGCTTTGCCATGGCCTCAGCGGCCTCTCCTTCCCTCTCCCGGCTGCACAGGCCGCTGCCCGCTGCCCCGCTGCCCCCGCTGCTGCTGCCCGGCTGCCTGGCCCCGCCCTCACTAACGTGTGACCCTTTGTGTTTTGCAGGCAGTTTCTTGATTCGGACATCCCTAGGTATCATTGCGACCCTTGGTTTTATTTCAGCCTCTCCTTCCTTCCTTCTTCCCTGATCACCCACACTGCCCTGAAAATATAATTTCTGGCTTTTTTGGTTCCTCATCCACTTGCTCACTTTGCCCTCTTGTTTCCCCCTCTTTCTATTTCCTTGGAAAATTTGTTCTGTTTATTTTTATTTTTTGTTTGCTTCCCTGTCCCCAACCCCTTGGCTGAGACCTCCTTGACCTGGCTGCTTTGTAGTTTTCTGCTCCGTAGACACTGGCTGGCCTCCCGCTCCTCTGCCCATGCCTGCACCCCAGCCTGGCTGGAGTGGGCACAGGCGTCCCCTGCATGCAGGTGACCCGCTGCCGGGGCTGCACCAGCTCTCAGGGGCCAGCCTCTCCCTGGTACCCTGTAGCAGGCTGAGCCAGGGACACAGGGAACAGGCAGACAGAACCCAGTTGCCAGGAGATGCGTCTGTGCTCGAGCCTTCTGTCCAGGCCTTGAGGCAGACAGCGCACGGCCACGGCCTGCCTTTTGGAAGCGGCACACAGTACATTCTCAGGAGACCCATGGGTCCCTGCACTCGGCTTGTCCCAGATGCAAACCCGCACAGCCCCAGACTTAGCAGGGAGGTGGCAGCTGCCTTCCCTGGCTTGAATGAGGCCGTGACCGGGCCGGCCTGGGGCAGGCACAGCTTTGTCCAGGGACAACTCTGGAGGGCCAGAGTGTCACCTTCTGAGCCCCTGTGGACGATGGCCAGAGTTCTGTGATGGTCACTTTGTGGGCCAGCTGTTCTGAAGCCAGGAACATTGGAGCCTTTAAGGGGTGCTGGCTGCTCCCTGGATGGAGTCGCAGGGTAGTGTGAGCGCCACTAGGGCTTCCTGAGGCTGTGCCTTGCTAGGTTATATTGTGATCAGAGCAGAGGGTGACTATACCTGGGGGCTGTGGTGGAGGCTGCCGTGGCAGGAGGAGGCTGGGCCCCAGGGCTGTGGCTCCCCAGGGAAGGTTCCCTATGTTGATGAGCAAGTCTTTTTCTGAGGTTCCAGCGGGCTGGGGCCCAGGTGAGGCAGAGACCCTGTCAAGGGACACGTGAAGCTGTGGCAAGCTCGCAGGACCGAGCAGGGCCTTCCACTCCCTGCAGCCAGCATGATCTGGCTGATCCTAGAGGGCGTGTCTGGCCCAGGTGTCCCTCGGCTGGCCTCAACAGGGCCTTCTGCAGCAGCCCCAGGACCCCAGGGCTCCCGCCCCTCCTGTGGCTGGTGTCTGACCCCAGTGAGCAGCCTGGCGAGGAAAAGCCGTGCCCTCCTGTGCGCTGGCTCTGCAGGCAGTGGGTGGGGAGCCGCTGACAAGGTGGACGGTGGTGGAGGTGCACGGAGGGGTCCGAAACATCGGGCAGTCATGCACAGAGGAGCGAGTGTGACTGTGAGTGGGTCTTGGCCTCCCAGGCTTCCTCCCCAGGACATAGGGCAGTGGCCGGGAATGCGCGCCATAGCCCAGGCGGTTCCCCAAGGGCGGGGCCAGTGTGGAGCTGTCCAGTTTTTGATGCGGGGCTCAAGACCTGAGTTTCTCCTTTGTCCCGTGCGGGGCCATTACCAAGTCTGCCTTGTTCGTTTACTTGCAGAATGCGCAGGTGGTTGGGAAGCTCTGTACCGAGAGCCCCCACATCTCAAGTCCTGTGGTGACAACACTCAGGGTGGAGGCCACATGGGGAGGGGCAGCTCAGCTGGGCTGGAGTGTAAAGGAGGCCCAAGGCTGGCGCCATGCGAGTGCTGGCCTGGCATTTCCCCCAGGCTAGGTCTGTCAGGGTCCCCTTCTCCGAGGACGACAGCCGCAGGAGTGGGCACTGGGAGTGTGGACATGTACTTCCCCCAGCTGGTGGCCTCTGGGGCCAGGGACTTTCACTGCTGGGCCCAGTGGAGCCTGGACAGGGAGGGTCCCGCCCTGCTCAGTGGGGTGGTACGCTGTCCTTCGCCACCACGGCCCTCCCGCCTGTCTCCGCCCTGCTCTGTGGAGCTTTAAGATGCAGCAGGCAGCCTCCCACAAGCCTTCCTGACCTGCCTGGAGCAGTGCTCTCCCACACGTGCCTCCAGCTGCTGCTGACGTCTCCAGCCTGCTTCCGACTCATAGGTGGGGGCCAGGTTGTCTGATTGCTTCCCGCAGGAGAGAGCTGAGGGGCAGGGCTTGGTCAGGCCAGGAGGGAGGCCATGCTGCCCTCCCGCGCTGGGAGGTTGAGGCCAGGGCTGATGAGGACACAGGGCAGAATGGAGACAGTTGTCGTCCAGGCTGTGGGATTCCCTGGGGACCCCAGCCCGCTCCCTGAGGACTGCTGTGGCTTGGCCCAGCCAGAACTGGTGACAGTCTCCTCCTCGGGGCAGGGTCTGCCTGCACATCACTCCGGCTGCCTCAGCCCGATAGCTCTGGGATGCAGGTGCGTCCTCTCAGGACCTGTGAGCAGAGCTCATTGCTGTCCTTAGCTGTGTGACCTTCGAGCTTGTTCCTCTGGTCACGCCCAGCTGACCACGGGAGGGGAGGGGCTGCGCTCTTGCAGTCAGGACAGTCCCAGAACTCGGGCAGTTGGCTCCCTTCCCCCAGGAACCTGGCCACTTGTGAAACTAGCACCTTTTCTACGGACTTCCCAGGGCTGCACAGGTTCCTGGCTGCAGCCTCTGGCATGAGATTTGATTTCAGGTCTTCAGCAAACCTCAGGGTGCCCACTCGCTGGCCTCTTTGCTCTCCATAGCTGGAGCGCTTGTGAGAAAAACGGGTCCACATCTTTAGCTGGCATGGTTTATAGTATCAGTCTGAAAAAAAGCATGTTCTCCAACGGTTGAATGACACTTATTTGCAAACAGCAGGGCCTTGGGATGGGGCTAGCGGGCAGCAGTGAACTGTTGGCTGGTTTGGGGAGACTGAGGCAGAGGAAGCCTTCGAAGCCAAACCCAGGAGGATTATGGCAGTTTGGTCCCAGCTGCTGGGCGAGTTCCCGGGCAGGGGCGGTGCTTGCGTAATTGCAGTGGTTTGTGAAGGCTCCTGGCTCAGGCCGAGTATTTTATGAAAATCACCGTAGGTAACTGTGCCAAAGAACTTTTCTCTCGTGACTTCTCAGCTTTATTCCACGTTTGTCAGGGTGGCCAAGAGTGGCTCCATCTTGATTCTGGTGACTTGCGCTTTCCTTTGACAAAGGCCAGCTGGGGCTGGGTATCAGCCGGAGGCCACAGGTCACCCCTCAGTCTTGAGGCTCTGTCTCTGGCTACAGAAGGAGCAGACTGACTGGCTTTTCCTCAGGGAGACCCTGTGTCCCTGCCCCTAGGTGTGGTGCGGCCCCCCACAGCAAGTCATCTTGACTGTCAGCTGGATTGGTTGGGGACACGCCAGGTGTGTCTGGGTGGGTCATGGAGGTGTGGTCTTAGGGTCTTCCCTGGCCCCTTCCTCTTGGGCTCTTGCCCTGTGCTGTTTCCTGGCCCCACGAACCTTTCCTCCACCAGGCTGTGTGCCTCAGAGCCTGTGACAGTGGACTGAAAGCCCTGGATCTGAGTGTTGACGAACCTCTCCTCTTTCTGTTGTATGTGCCAGGCATTTTGTCCCAGCAAGGGAAAGGTGATGAATACACTCCCACCACCCCTTTGTTTAGCGTGGAGTTGTGCGAGCATCCACATAAATGACAGCACAGTGGGCGGGCTTGGGGTGCCCTTGCTGGAGGGACAGCAGCAAGCCCTGCCTGTGGTCCTGGGCTGCGAGGGGTCTGTCTGTTCCCCAGCTGCAGAGTGGGTGCGTCCAGAGGCTCTAGGACAATGGTAAGGCCCCCTCAGGGCCAGCTCAGGTCATCCAAGGGATGACAAGGGAATCCCTACCAGCACTCGTGCCCCAGTAGGCCTGGGTGAGGCCCCAGACCCTGTGCCTTCACAGGCTCCCCAGTGTTCCGATGCAGGGCCCCAAGCCCGTGTCTGGGCAGCCTGGCAGTCTGTGTTGCACCTATATGAGGAAGCGTCAGGCTTACAAAGGGCCAGGTTTACTTTGGCTCTCAGTTCCGGTCCAGTCTAGGGCCTGGTCTGGTGATGGCTCAGGGCACCGTGTGGCGAGAGACAGGATGTGCACATGTGCCCTGGTCCCCTCCCTCTTCGTATAAAGCCACCAGGTTCACGCACAGCAGCCCCACACCAAGGACCTGGTGTAACCCTGACGCCGCTATCGCCTTCGGCTTCCTCCCCTTACTACCATAGCGGGGTTCAGTCCTCACACCTGAACCTTGTGGGGCCATCCTTCCCCAAAGCGCAGCACAGGTACACGTACGTCGAGTTGGGAGAGAGGTACGGGGCAGGGATGCACAGCGACCCTGAGCTGGTCCTGTGCAGCTTGTGGAGTGGGGTTCTCCAGTGTAGCGTGACTTGGCTGCCCCGGACGTCTTCTGGTACTAGTTTCCTGCCCTGACTGAGGGGTGCTGATGGTGGTGTCCGTATAAAGCCCTGCACACTTGGGAGTCCGTAGGGAGCTATCCTCTGCTGCCCCAAGTCCAGCCACGGTCCCCTCCAACTCACCCCCATCTGCAGAGGCTTTAGGGACCTGGGGTGACTGAGGATCCTCCCTGTTGCATGTGGCCACATGGAGCCATGGCAAGAGTGGGCCGGGTCCAGGTGGCGTGGGCACATGTGTGCGGCCAGGCTGGGTCCCTTTGTGAACAGCCTGTGGGCAGCGTAATGGCCGTGCGCACGTTGGGCCCAGGTTGGGGTGGCCATGCAGGCAGGAGGGTGGCAGCCAGGTCTGGGGCGACCCAGCTCCCTGGGGCCCACACAGGGCAGGCCGTGTCCTGACTGGACAGAGGAATGCTTTTGAGACCCTCGTGGTCCACGCTACCCTGTGGGGCAGCAGGGCTGCGGTCCAGGCCTCAGCCTGGCCTGTGGAGTCCACTTCGTCCTTGGGGCTACACTAGCTGGCCAGCGCCTGCTCTGGGTGTCCTGCTTGGGGGACAGGGTGGAGACATGGCCCTGGAGGAGGGGCTGGCAGGACACCTGGAAGACAGTGTGTCCACACCTGCAGCACCGTGAGCGGACCGGGGCTTGGGGACGCGTGAGGCAGGTGGACAGAGAGGCCAGGCACATGGCTGGGCACATGAGAGAGGGCACTGGCCTGCTGTCCTGGTGCCAGCCCACACTCACACAGGCACCTTGGTGATAGTCACTTACCGTCATGAAGGTGGGGTTTGTCACTGCCTCACTGTGCAGCAAGAAAATGGCACAGAGGTGCGGTAGCCACCGAGGCCCCGTGCGGGAGGCAGCCGGTGGCGTTGGACGCTGGTGGTTTGGCTGTGTGCCTTGGGGGCAGGGCTGTGGTGGGCACCACTCTGGCCCGGAGGAAGAACCCTGCCGCCCACTCCAGCTGGGTGGCACCGGGCGCTCAGTGGTGCGCAGGGCACAGGTGTCGCGGCTGGGGGCTCTGGGAGGCGCGAGGTGCTTGTGCGGCCGCATGGGCCGTGGTCTGATGCCTCACTCTCTTCTGTGTGTGTTTGTGTGTCCTGGCTGTCTCGCCCTTAGCGTGTCCTTCGGAATTGACACTAGGTACAGCCACTTTTGTCTGCTGCCCGCTTGCTCTGTCCTCGCCCCGTCTGTTCCCTTCTCCTCTGACGTCTGCCTGCTGTCTGCCCTGTTCTGGTTGCCCGCTGGCCCGCACCCCAGATTGCTCCTCAGTGACGTTTGTCCGGCAGTGGCCCTGCCCTGGTCCCTCTGCTTTGTTCCGTGTCCCTGACTTGTGAGACCCTGTGGCCCACGCCCTGGACACAGCGGGGTGGGAGACAGGGCAGTGTGGCACTGTCTGAGCCCCAACGCGGCCCCAGAACCTCAGGGAGCCGCCCCGTGCCCCCCGAAGGGCCGGCCCGTTGGTGCCAGGTGTCCGAGTCCATGCGTGTGAACTGTCTCTGTGAGGATGCCTGGATGGAACGGAACCGTTTTCCCCCCCCCGCAAGCCCTGGCTTCAGGAGAGTACAGGAGGTCGCTGGTGGGTGGCTGGGGCAGGAGCTGTCACACAAGAAGAAACCCTGTTGCAGAGCAGTGGCCCTTCCGGGGACCGCGGAGTGTGGTGCCTCCTGGGATGGGCAGGGGTCAGGAGCCAGAGAGCAGCCCCAGCTGCACCCTGGGCAGAGCCGTCTCCCTCCAGGCATCCTCCCAGGCCTCCCATGGAGCAAGGCAACGGCTGCCGAGGGCTGGGCAGACCCGGCCCACCCCTGGGGCCCGGGACGGATGGACGGAGGGACAGGCGGACATATCCTTGCTCAGACCTCGGCTTGGTCTGCCACCCTCCCCGGTCTCCGCAGTTGTTCCGGCCCTCCGTCCCGGCCCTCCATCCCGGCCCTCCTCTCCCTCCATCCACAGAGCCGAGACCGGAGGGCTTGCCGGGCTGCTCATCCTGAGCGAGGAGGGCCCAGCTCCCTGCGACTCTGCGGCTCTCCCTGCGTTGCCTGCCCCACTGTCCTTCCGCCTGTCTGTCCTCCGCGTGTCCCCACCCCCGGAGCGACATGCGCCGTTATCTTTTACCTCCTCTCTGCTCCCTCACAGGACTTTCTTCCAGTTTGAGGCCGCCTGGGACAGCTCCATGCACAACTCCCTTCTGCTGAACCGCGTCACCCCGTACCGGGAGAAGATCTACATGACCCTGTCCGCCTACATCGAGGCAAGAGACCTCTGCCCGAGTCCTGGGGTGGAGGCGCTTGTGAGCCCTGGACAGTCCCAGCCAGCCCACGGTCTTCTCAAGGCAGCTGAGTCCTTGAGTTAAACCCACGACTCTCAGTGATCACAGTTAATCCGCTCTGACATCCTTAATGTCTGGATTTTGTCCTTGAGGTTGCAAGAAGTCTGCCGGGCCACCAGACATTCCATCTGCATTACAGACAGCACCGAAAGGGTGCTCCTGTTCCCACACCCCTTCCCCAGGAATTCCAGCTGCAGGCTGCCCACGGCTGGATGCGGCTGTGGCCTTTCTTGGCAGCACCTTGGATGCTGGGGGCTTGCAGCTGGCACAGTAGTAGGGGGCGGGAGGTTTGGGGACAGTGCGTCTGCCAGGACCTCGCCTCTCCTTAGGATTTGGCCCAGGGGCAGGGCTAGGGTGAAGCTGGTTGCCAGGGCCGTGTGCCCCAGGATGAGGCCGGGGGGCTGGGGATGTGGCCTGTGCGAGCCAGGGTCAGACCCCCCAGGTACCAGGCGCCGCATGCCAAGCCAAGCCTGTGCCCGTCACAGATGGAGAACTGCACGCAGCCGGCCGTCATCACCAAGGACTTCTGCATGGTCTTCTACTCCCGTGATGCCAAACTGCCAGCCTCGCGCTCCATCCGCAACCTGTTTGGCAGCGGAAGCCTGCGGGCCTCGGAGGGGTGAGTGGGGTGGGCTGCCGCGTCGCTGCCCTGGACAAGGTGAGGACTGCACCGGACTCTGCAGGGACAGTGGCCCTCATCTGACGCTCACTATGGAGGCCCCGATGGTGTCCAGGGGGGCCACAGGAAGGCTCAGGGCTCAGGGCACCCTGTCAAGTGATGAGAGGAGCTGGCCAGTCTGCAGGGTTTTGAGCAGGGCCTGTGCCCACCAGGGGCCTCCTGAGCCCCACCAGGCGACCTCCTCCCTGGGGACCACGGGATCCGTGCCCTGGCAACAGCCCGATGTGAGCAGGGGGGGCAGTCGGATAAATGGGGTAAGTGGGCAGTGGTGCAGGGCAGCGCCAAGCTGCTTCTCCTGGGGTCTGGGGCCCTGGGAAGTAGGGGCTTAAATACCTGAACCTCAGGCCCAACGGCTTCCTGCATTCCTGGGGGTGAGCGGGGCTGTCCTCACAGAGCAGCTGCCCCCAGCCACCACATGCAGCCAGTGTCCAGCCCGCTCTGGCCCAGCTAGGGGGGTGGGGCATGGGGACGCGGACTCAGTGACCCCAGGAGGGGGCCGTGGTCACTGGGGAGGTCACCTGGTGCGTGCAGGACATGCTGGCCAGCACGGCCTGTCTGTTCGAGGACTGAGTCAGAGCCTCCCATGGGGCACTGCCGACCCCAGGGCTTTGGGAGAAGTGTGCCCTGGCGCAGCACAGCACGCAGGGACAGGGACAGTGCTGAGTCCCGCTGGGTCCTGAGAGGACCAGCACACTCTTTATTTGGGAGCTGGGGGAGTCTGGGGCCCCCAAACCCTCCTAGCCATGCCAGCCACGGGGTATGCAACAAGGCACGTGCCCTGAGGGGGAGGGCTGGCAGCCCCTGCCTGGCTGCCCGTGCTGTGCCGGGCTGGTGAGCCGTGCCCTCCCTCTGCCCCGCAGCAACCGCGTGACGGGTGTGTATGAGCTCAGCCTGTGCCACGTGGCCGACGCGGGGAGCCCAGGTAGGTGGCCACCCTGCCCCGCGGCCCTGCCCAGCTCCACCTCCGCTGCACTTGGATCCTGAGGTACCCCTTGTGGGGTACAGGGTTGTTCTCCATGGAGGATAGCGAAGGGAGGGTCAGGCTGGCTCTTGTGGCCTCTGGGCACAGCCCCTGGGGTGCCACTGGGCCGGACAGCCTTCTGCAGGTTAAGTGGGTGTGGCTTCGTGACTGGGGCAGGGGACCTGGCCAGCGGGGCCGACTGTGGCCCAGTGAGGGCAGCTCTGAGAGGGAGGGGCGAGCGTCCGTCGGAAGGCTGAGCCCTGTTCCTGTCCAGGGATGCAGCGGCGGCGCCGGCGGGTGCTGGACACGTCCGTGGCCTACGTCCGCGGTGAGGAGAACCTGGCTGGCTGGCGGCCCCGCAGCGACAGCCTGATCCTGGACCACCAGTGGGAGCTGGAGAAGCTGAGCCTCCTGCAGGAGGTGAGTCCCACAGGCCACCCTAGGACGTGGAACGTGTGCCGCTCAAAATGCCCACTATGGGGCCCCGCCGCACTTGGTGAAAGTATGGCCGCTCAGAATAGCTCATCCTCAGCTTGCAGAGGAGATGGCGCGGGGCTTAGCCAGGGCCCACAAAGCTCTGAGAAAGGCAGGTAGGGCTTCTGTGCTTTGGCCAGGGACACGGGCTGCTGCATGTGTGTGCAGAGCCCCCGGCCATCCTCAGCCTGCCGGCACTGCCAGCACTGCCAGCTGCAGGTGCCTGGGAGCCAGGCGAGGGGATGCAGGTGTGCTGTGCTGCGGCCGTGAGGGGCTGCAGGGCCCGGCAGGGTGCAGCTGGGTCCTCGCAGCCACGCCTCCCTCCTGATTTGCTTTGAGGGCACTAGCCCCCTCCCAGGTGGATGGCTGTCCAGCCCTCCCAGGGGCCCCAGGCTCAGCAAGGCCACCCTGTGTCCCTGTCTTAGGTGGAGAAGACCCGGCACTATCTGCTTCTGCGGGAGAAGCTGGAGACCACCCAGCGGCCCGGGCCTGACGCGCTGTCCCCCGTCTCCAGCGAGGATTCCGAGTCCCGCAGCTCCTCTGGCGCCTCCTCCCCGCTGTCAGCTGAGGGCCGCCCTTCGCCCCTGGAGGCTCCCAGCGAGAGGCAGCGGGAGCTGGCTGTCAAGGTGAGTGGCCCTGGGTGGCCCGGCCACCGGCCACCCTCATAGGGAACCCCGCCTTGTCCAGCTCTGGCCAAGGCCTCCAGGAGCTGGGAGCATGAGGGCCAGGGGGCCCCTGCTGGCTGTCCCCCCCTTCTGTCTGGGGACATCAGTCTGAGGCTTTTTTGGCCTCCTCCCCAGCAGTGCCCTCCCCATCTTGAATACCTGAGCTGGTAGGGAGCTCACCACCTCTCTCTTGAGGTGCTGCCAGAGGGGCCACCAGGAGGGCTCTCACAGCTCAGGTGACGCTGCCTCTGGGCCGCAGCCCGGCCCTGGGTATGGAGGAGCTGTGGTCAGGGAAGGGTCTAGGCGGGTGGGCACGGGGCTGACCAGATGCTCTGTCCGCAGTGCCTGCGCCTCCTCACGCACACGTTCAACAGGGAATACACACACAGCCACGTCTGCATCAGCGCCAGCGAGAGCAAGGTGAGCGGAGGGCGCAGCAGGGAAGACCCGTCACGGCCCGCAGGGGCATCTCCAGCCTCGGTCCCAGAGGGTGGGCAAGACTCAGGGACCGGCCCGGGCCAGGGCCAGCGGGATGACCCAGGCCCTCTGCAGCTCCTGCCCTTGTCTCACCCTCTTGGCCACTGTCCCTCCTGGCACCCTCATCCTTCAGGTTCACACCTTCCCCTGAGGCTGAGCAGAGCCTGTGCCCCTCCACACCTCAGACCCGAGTTGAAGGCTGCCCTGCACCCAGTCAGGCCCAGTGTTCCCTGGCAGCCCTGTGCCAGCTTCTCCTGTCCACTGGAGAGCAGTCAGGCTGCCCAGAACCCACCCAGGCCAAGATTGGGGGACAGCCAGGGTGTTCAGGGCTGGGAGAGGTTTAGGCCCTGAGGCCGAGGCTGGGAAGAGGACATAGGGTACTCCAGGCAGAGGTGGGGTGCGCGTGGCCCAGGGGGCTGTCCCCTGAAAGGGCTTCTGTCTCCTGCAGCTCTCCGAGATGTCTGTCACCCTGCTGCGAGACCCGTCCATGTCCCCCCTGGATGCAACCACGCTCACCCCATCCTCCACCTGCCCCTCTCTGGTGGAAGGACGCTATGGTGCCGCCGATGTGAGGTGGGTGAGCTCTGAGGGCCGCGGCCAAGGCAGGCACCGGGGGTGGCAAGGTGGCCCAGCGGCGAGGGGCAGCAAGCTGCAGACACAGCTGGGAGCAAGGCCAGAGCAGGACGCAGAGACAGCACTGCTCCAGGAACAGGGGTTGCTGCTCAGCTGGGAGGAGAGGCGGCAGGGAGCAGGGGCTGCGCCGGATGCCCGCCCCCCCGCACCCCGTGCCTGAGCTCAGATCGTTCTTACTCTCACTTTAAAGCGCCTCGGATCCCAGCGTCTTGGAAGGCTGAGGCAAAGTCCTGCCTGGGCAACTTAGTGAGCTCCTGTCTCAAAATTAAAAGATAAATAAAAAGGGCTGGGGACGTAGCTCCGTGGCAGGATGCCCCTGTTTTGATCCCCAGGACTGCAAAATAGAAAAAAATACATAAGCCTCAGGATTTCCAAGTTTTTATTAGAAAGGAACACAGGTGTGTAGTCCTCCCGCTCCACTCTGCCACCCCTATCCTAAGAGGCCTCTCTCAGGCCGGGGGCCCCGGCTGCACAGCCCCTGCACACCGCCCCAGGGTCATCTGGCGAGGAAGAGATGCCGGGCCCCCTTTTCACAGGCGCAGAGGTGGGGAGGCCGGCAGCAGTCTGGCGGAGGGTGCAGCCCCACCAGGGACTGGGGAGCTCTGGAGCCAGACAGGCGCTCAGGTGCTGGGAGCGCCAGTGGTCCCGAGAGCTCCCGCTGGGCGGAGTGCAAAGGCTGCCCCTTGGCGCCTCTGAGAGGATGCAGCCCAGGACGATGCAGACACAGCCTCTCCCTGGCTCCTAGGACCCCCCAGCCCTGCTCCCGGCCCTCCAGCCCAGAACCTGAGCTAGTGCCCGAGGCTGACTGCAAGAAGCTCCCCTCCCCTGTCCAGGCGACCGAGGCAGACAAGGAGCCCCAGCGTCTGCTGGTCCCTGACATCCAGGAGATCCGCGTCAGGTGGGACAGGCTGCCACCCTCACCTCTGTGGGGAAGGCTGGGGCCCAGCTGTGGGGGGGGCAGTGCTGTTTGTGGCCGGGCAGGCCCCTGGCACACAGACTCTGGGGGGGCTGATGGTGTGGGGGGCACGGGCTGATGTAAAGGGCACGTGGGGTGGTCAGAGCAGGCTCATGTGGCAGTGTGGCCAGCTTGGGGGTGGTTTCAGCTCTTTGGAAGTTTCCCTGACAGCTGGGGAGCCCAGCCAGGGCAGGTGGGTGGTCCCGGCTGCTGGCCTCCCGTGTTGGATCTGCTGGGGGTCTGACCTGCGAGGTGCCCAGCACTGCCGTGCTGGTCAGTGTGAGGGCCCGAAAGCCAGCACCTGTCCTTCCGCAGCCCGATCGTGTCCAAGAAGGGTTACCTGCACTTCCTGGAGCCGCACACGGCTGGCTGGGCCAAGCGCTTCGTGGTGGTGCGGCGCCCCTACGCCTACATGTACAACAGTGACAAGGACACCGTGGAGAGGTTCGTGCTCAACCTCTCCACCGCCCAGGTGGAGTACAGTGAGGACCAGCAGGCCATGCTCAAGGTGCGCCAGGGCAAGGAGGGGGGTGCGGTGGGGGGTGACCCTGGGGCTCACAGGATTGGTGGCAGCTCCTACTGATAGGTGCATGCTCCAGGATTGATGCTGCCCTGTGCCACGGCCAGTGGAGGCCAATCCTGCCCTGGTGTGCCTGCAGCTGGTGGTGTGAGCCCTGTTGGTGGGCAAAGCCCTCGTGTCTCTTGCTGAGCAGTCATGGCCTGGCCACGGGGGCGCACACCTGTGTGTGTGTGTGTGTGTGAGAGAGAAAGTGCATGGGTGTGTGTGTGAGCATGGGTGTGTGTGTGTGAGCGTTGGGTGAGCGCATGGGTGTGTGTGTGAGTGCATGGTTGTATGAGAGCGTGTGTGTGAGAGCATGTGTGTGTGTGTGCGCGCACCCCCACGCTCATCTCACACATGGTCACACACACGTGTGAGAGCGTGTGTGTGCACAGTGAGAGCATGGGTGTGTATATGAGCATGGGTGTGTGTGAGAGCACATGGGTATGTGTGTGAGAGCATAGGTGTGTGTGAGCGTGTGTGTGTGAGCGCATGGTTATGTGTGAGCGTATATGTGAGCGTGTGCGTGCGCACCCCCACACTCGTCTCACACGGTCTCACGTGTGAGAGCGTGTGTGTGCACAGTGAGAGCATGGGTGTGTGTGAGCATGGGTATGTGAGAGCATATGGGTGCGTGTGTGTGAGCGCATGGGTGTGTGAACGCATGGTTATGTGTGTGAGAGCGTGTGTGCGTGTGTGTGCGTGCACCCCCCACACGTCTCACACATGGTCTCACACACACGTGTGAGTGTGTGTGTGCACAGTGAGAGGATGGGTGTATGTGTGAGAGCATGGGTGTGTGTGTGAGCATGGGTGTGTGAGCATGGGTGTGAGTATGGGTGTGTGTGTGTGACAGCATGGGTGTGTGTGAGAGAGCATGGGTGTGTGTGAGAGCATGGGTGTGTGTGTGAGAGCATGGGTATGTGAGAGCATGGGTGTGTGAGTATGGGTGTGTGTGTGTGACAGCATGGGTGTGTGTGAGAGCATGGGTGTGTGTGAGAGCATGGGTGTGTATGAGCGCGCGTGTGTGTGAGCATGGGTATGAGCATGGGTGTGTGTGTGCATGTGTATGTGTGTGAAAGCGTGTGTGTGTGAGAGGGCATGGGTGTGCGTGTGAGAGCATGTGTGTGTGTGAGAGCATGGGTGTGTGTGAGAGCATGGGTGTGTGAGAGCATGCATGTGTGTGAGCATGGGGGTGTGTGTGAGAGTGTGCGTGTGTATGTGTGTGAAAGCATATGTATGTGTGTGAGGGCATGGGTGTGTGTGAGCATGGGTGTGTGTGAGCATGTGTGTGTGTGTGAGAGCATGGGTGTGTGTGTGAGCATGGGTGTGTGAGACCATGGGTGTGTGTGTGAGAGCATGGGGGTGTGTGAGAGCATGGGTGTGTGAGACCATGAGTGTGTGTGTGTGAGAGCATGGGTGTGTGTGTGAGTGTGTGTGAGAGAGC